AAACCTAAATAAAATTCGATATATCCTTGATCACTTAAAAATCGAACCTACTTTCTTTCTCCTCTCAAAATCTCACTATTCCATTGATCTTCATTTTCGTCTGCAAATTACCTTCAAATTTTCAAGGTATTTATCAATTTTATTCATCAACAAATCTAAAAAAATTAAGAATTTAATTGAACTTGTTAGCTTTATTTGGTTGTAATTTCTAAAATCATTTTTAATTATTGTTAAGAATTTTTGTTTTAATTGATTTTCATTTATTCTTGATCCAAATAAGGAGAGGAATCCGAATCAAGAGGCCGATGAAGAAGTGTTTCAAGAGATCTAGCAACAACTGAAGCAAGTTTCTTAAGAAAGGGGTCTTTAGGGTGAACTGGGGGCATAGGAATTTAAGCGGAATTCCTGGATTTCATCGATTGATAAAACCGTGCAGAAACTTCTTATAGTTGAATTAACTAAGGTTGAAGATGATGAAATTGATCAAGAAGCTAAGCCATGGGAACCTCCAAACAGTATGCCATCGGTAATAATCTGAGAATTCTCAAGCTAAGTAATCTGAAAATGATATTTTTTTTTTATTTGATGAAGATAATTATTGATCTTTAATTGAATGACTTGGCCCTGCGTTTCATACTAGTCCTTACCCGACCCCGACTCATTTAATTAAGGCCCAATTTGGACCGAATTTGGCCCGCTAAATAGGCCTAATCGAAGCCATTAAAGGTCTCAACCTTGGGCATGACTTTGATACCACGACAATTTTAGGGAAAAGACTAGCTTAGTGTCACATATTTCCTGCATTTGTACAAGAGATAACCTAGCCAATCTTGGTGATTAGGAAACAATCATAACACCTTACAACTTCCCTTAAGATAAAAAATACTAAAGATCCTATATATAATATTTTAAAGATATCAATATAAAAATATATCACACGAATATATTTTTCATAAATGATCGTATCTTAAATCTTTAGTAGAAATTGGGCTTCTTGAGAGCCTTGCTGGCCATCTCATGAATTTTCAAGGAGTTTGCCAGCACATCTTCTTAACTTTTGTCTTTTATTTCTCTTGAGTGTTCATGTATATCTAGTTGATGAACTTTAACTTAAACATTTAGAAACTTTCTTCACGTTCATTATCTAATTTGAAGGTCTTTGCCAAAAATATTAATACGTCTTTTTATCCTTTTTCATGCCTTGTTTACTTACTCGTCTTGCTTAATCATGAGTAGATAGTTTTCTTAGTGTAGGAATAAGATGATCTCTACCAGGTCATTACTTTATTAATATGTACGTCTTCTTCTATCTCTATTTAGTTGACACTTTCCTTATTTATGTTTTTACTATATATACATTCCACCATTATTGTATTTAATGACCGATGAACAAAATACATAAAAAGTTGATACTTCGAAATTATATATCGAGACGAATCTAATAAGACACTACATTATGTTTTTCAATATGTATCAATGACAAAAGACTGTTAGAAGGGGTTGTGTGAATGGTGCTAAAGTCAAAATGTGTCAATTGAAAAGAAATGTAGAAATACATAGATACGAATGCATAAATTGGCTATTCAAAGACATATTGGAGGCAACACACATGGAATGGAGCAATTCTACAATCTTTTAGGCCCAATGATTTAAATTAATTAGAGAAAACAAAACATTCTAGTAGGTCGAATCAAATAAGTAAAGATCACGACTGAGTTTTCCTTGCGCTCCAAAATTGCATCAAGACTCAAGAAATTCACCTCGAGTCAATAGCCAGAGCAAGAGCTATTCGACCAGATCTAAACAACAATACAAATTCATTATCAGTCCACATCTCTTAGAAAAATACATATAATCAAGTCAATTCAAAAAAGAAAACACCTAATCACAATCACGAACAAAGTCCAAATAAGATTACAGCACACTTAATAATCCCCATAAAGCAATAGCAATATAGATTGGAGAGAAGAAAAAAAGGGAGAGAAGAGTAGGGCACACAAAGGCACAATACACAAAACCAAAGAAGAAGAACAACCAAGAAAGAAAAAAGAAAAGAAGAGAAGAAGGAAGGCGGACGTGAAAGCATAAAATTAAAACGAGTTAAACCCACAAAGCTTTGAGATACGCTTTCATACACCTTCTCTTTCTCTCTCCTCAAAAACCAATCTCTTCCTTCTTCTCTTCTCCTTTTTCTCTCTTTCTCTCTTCTTATCATCGTTTCTCTCTCTAACTTTCTCTCTCTTCCCTCAGCAAACCCAACCTCAACCCCTTGAGAAATAATCACTTGCACAAGATTTCCCCTCAAAAACCCAATCTTCCTTATCTCTCTAACCCCAGAAGAGAGAGAAAATCCGCCATTGCCGCCCACCTTCGTTTCTTCACAAGATCCACCTCTTTTGTTGTTCATACCCCAGAATTACACTTGGGTTTTTCTGGGTTTCTTTGATTTTCCCCAAATCGTTTGTTGTTCCATGTGATTTTTAAGTGGTGAGAGAAAATTGATGCCGCCGGAGCCATTGCCGTGGGATCGGAAGGAGCTGTTTAGGGATAGGAAGCACAACCACGACTTTGGTGCTTCTTCGAGATGGAGGGATTCTTCTTCTTCTTCCTCTTATGGCGGATCCCGCAATAACAATAACAGCGATTTTTCCCCTCGTTGGGGTTTTCCTTCCTCCGACTTTCGCCGTCCTCCTGGTTAGTCTCTTTCTCTCTCCTCTTTTTTTCCCTAATTCTTGTTCTTGTTGATTAATTTGAGAGTTTTGAATCTAGGGTTTTTTTTGGGTTAGGGTTGGGGAAAAAGTTGTTTAGGGTGAATTTATTGTTTTGTGTCGGCAACCCTAGGTCAACCTACCCTAATTTTATTTCTGTGTTTTGTTTTGATTTTTAGGTGGCTTTTGATTATATAAACGATTGCTTGGGTGATTTTACATATTTTTATTGATTTCCCTAATTTTGTTGGTGAAATGGGGTTTTTTTTGGGGGTGGGGGGGTTGGTGAGTTTTGATTTTTGAGGTTTAATCTTTCATTAGGGTTCATTAGGGTGCTCGAGTTTGGTTTGCCAGGGAGTTGTAGGTTAATGAAGAATTTTTAAGACTGTTTGTTCGTCTTCGGGTTTGAGGAGATTATTAGGGTTCATTTGGAATACTCTAATCGTTCTTGAGGTTGTGTTTATTTTAATTTAGCGCGTGTTTTGGGTTGTGGAAGCTGATTTTGATGTTGAATCTATGTTTTGCGTCGGGGTTGGGTGAGGATCTGGTTATTTGTAAAGGTTTCTATTGTGTTTTAATTGAGTAGTGTTATTTAGTTTACATGTGTGTGAGTAGGTTGATTGCTCCTTGTGTTGATACATGGTTTTTTTTCCTTTCTCAAATTTATATCTTGAAGGTCATGGTAAGCAGGGTGGATGGCATATGTACCCTGAAGATCACGGGTATTCCACACCTCGTTCAGCTGATAGATTTATGGATGATAATAATATGTTTAGACCTTCTGGGATGCGTGGAGATGGTAGATATGGTAGATTTTATAGGGAGAATCGTCCCTCCTTTGGACAGAGAGATTGGAGAGGGCAGTCTTGGGAAGGTAATCACCATCATGGTGGTCCAGCAAATGGAGTAGGCAGACCACATACTGTCAATGATCAGAGGGCAGTTGGTGATTCACCTGTGCGTGCTTCTCATCCACACTCTGATCCTCGAGATCAGATTCATGCAAAGGAACAAGTTGATAAAACGGGTGATGCTAATGGGTCTAGTTCTGGCCAAAAAGTCGATAAAGAGAATTTGCTGGGATCTCTTGATTGGAAGCCTCTTAAGTGGTCCCGTTCAGGAAGTTTGACGTCTAGGGGTTCTGGTTTTAGCCATTCAAGTAGCTCTAAGAGTATTGGAGGAGAGTCTAGTGATGTGAAGTGTGATTTGCCCCCCAAAAAAGTTACCCCTGTTCAGTCACCTTCTGGTGATGCTGTTGCATGTGCGCCCTCTGTTACTCCATCTGAAGAAACATCTTCTCGGAAGAAACCACGACTTGGATGGGGGGAGGGGCTGGCCAAGTATGAGAAAAAGAAAGTTGATGGCCCAGAAGACAATGTTAAAAGTAATGCAATTTCAGCTAGTAATGTGGAACCCTCACATTCGCTCCCCTCAAGTTTGGTTGTCAAGAGTCCCAAGATGTCGGGTTTCTCTGATTGTTCATCGCCTGCCACACCATCATCTTTTGCTTGCAGCTCTTCACCAGGTATTAATCTGGTTCATTTTTATTGCCATAGTGTAAGGTGATACTTTTTTTTGTTTTTTTTTTGTTTTTTGACTCCCTGATTAATTGATCATACTCTTTGTTATGCTTCAACTTGAGATTAGAATTTACAACTGTTTCTTTTGTTGCTTCCATGACATCCCTAGCATCGTATTCCTTTAAGATGGTTGTAATTAAATTATTTACTGAAAACATTATCAAGGTATCAAATAAAGGACCTTATATGTGGTGAAGGTTCACTTTTCAGCTTACAGGTTTTTGAATATTTTCATCTCCAAAGTATATATTGAGAAGATTTTTCTCTTAAAAGTATTTGTATAAGTGGTGTTAAGCCTCTCAAAATCTCAATACTGCTGGCATAGCTCATCATTGAGCAGGATGTTGCACTTGTGACTCTCTGGCCATTACTGCACTACTGCAAGTCTGTATCTGATTATTGTACTTCTATTTGCGATTTTAATTAAGCCATCACTACCATATCCTTTACTTTATATAGGTCACCTGAGTTGATGTTTGGCTTACCGGCAGTGAGTACAAGTTGATCTTTTTTATTTATTTTTTTTTTTTATATAATATCCCTAAGTTTTGATATGCTAAGCCTTTTGACCATCTTTATGTGCTTCTAGATTTATTTCTTTTAGTATTTTCCTCACCAAATTAAGCTATAACAGGGCTGGAAGACAGAACTTATGGGAAAGCAGTAGATGCTGGTGGTGATGCTAGCAACTTCAGTGTCTCATCGATGCCTGTTCATGAGAGTCAGCTCGAAGGTTCACATTTTAGGTTGGAAAAATTGGAACTGAAGTCAGTCGCCAACTTGGGCTCTTTGCTCAATGAATTGCTACAGGCAGATGATCAATGTTCTATGGATTCTGGTTTTATGAGATCCTCGGCTTTCAATAAACTTCTGCTGTGGAAAGGCGATATCTCAAGGACATTGGAGTTAACTGAAACTGAGATTGACTCACTTGAAAATGAATTGACGTCATTGAAGGCGGAAACTGATAGAAGCTTCCATCGTCCTGCATCATCAAATTCAGGGCCTGCAGATTATAAAGATGGACCAAGTGATTGCCAAACTGTCTTCCCAAGACCACATCCTTTGGAAGTGGTTTCAAATGGGGAAATGATTTCGGAAGATAGACTTCCTTGTGATGATGCAGGTGAAGTTCAAGCTGAAAGCAAGGATGAGGATATTGACAGTCCTGGCACTGCTACATCTAAATTTGTGGAACCTCTTGTTCAAAAGTCCATCTCCTATGATGTGTGCAAAAATTCTTCCGGGGAATCTGGGTTTGTTGAGTCTACCAAAAGTGCAATGGATTTGGGGACATCATGTCAAGGCCATGATAGAAGTGTAGTCCAAGTAAATAACATAATTGCAATTGATATTGAGAACCCTGGTGTGTGTGATAAAAAAGTGGACAGTATATGTGATACAGTTATAGCTTCGAATAAGGAATTGGCTAATAGAGCCTCGGAGGGGCTTCTTAAGTTATTGCCTTGTTCTGATTCGATGGTGGCGAATAGGGCTTCTTGCATACCTGCTGATTCCACAATGAAGGAGAAGTTTTTGAGAAAGAAAAGGTCCCTCAGATTTAAAGAGAGAGTGATATCACTGAAATACAGGGCTTTTCATCACCTTTGGAAGGAGGACTTGCGCTTACTTTCTTTGAGAAGTCACCGTGCAAAACCCCAGAAAAAGCCAGATCCGAGTTCCCGTATTCTGCAAGTAGGGAATCAGAAGAATCGGTCCTCCATACGTTCACGTTTTACTTCACCAGGTAAATAGAATCTTACAGTTAAAATACTATATCTAATATTCTAATGTAGCTTCAAATTTTGCTTTTTAATGGAAGTGTTTAGTTAAGTTGGTACCACTTTTTTTATCTGTGTTTTTTTTTTTTTTTTTTTTTTTTTTTTTTTTTTTTTTTTTTTTTTTTTTTTTTTTTTTTTTTTTTTTTTTTTTTTTTTTTTTTTTTTTTTTTTTTTTTTTTTTTTTTTTCTTTTTATGTTAAGTTTTAGTTGTTTTGTACTCTTACTATCGTGGGTTCTTTTATGCTTAAGCTTAAGGAAAGAAAGCATCGATTTTCCTGAAACTATGGGTTGCCACTTCCATCAATTTTATACAAGTAATGAAAGTATAACAGAAATTTAAAGTTCTGTAGGCATTTATTTCTTTTATAGTTTGTATTATTCATTAATCGACCTGCTGGAAGATGTACTTGAAGTCTTTTAAGAATTGTGAGTAAGTCCTCAGTGCCAGGACTCAGAAAAGATTACTTGGCAGTCTCTTTCACTACAAGGTGTGGTTGTCTTGATTGGGAAATTATTTCATGTAATCCCTTTAGGCTATTTTCTGATTATTTCCTACAAAATGACTTATTCCACAGGTAAAACCCATATGGGAACACCTTCTCTCTACACCCCCAAATAGTTGTGTCGGTTGCTTTTTGATGGTTTCTAATTTCCACTATCACCAATTGGATCCCTTGATACATATTTCTCTAGTAAAAACTATGATCAAATTTTTTAAGCATGACCTTCTAAAAGCAATTGGAACCACTATTGGGACCGAGTAAGTACTAAAATTACTCCATTCGTTTTTTAACAAGTGCTTCATTTCCCATTTTCAGCCGTTTTTCTAATAAGTGTTCCATTCCTATTTTTGGAAAGTTGTAACAATATTTTCATATATTCCTTCCCACTAATGGTCCCCCCATCCCATTTTTAAATATGTTTACACTCTTTTCTCCTCCCCACAATAACCCACCAATGCCTCTTCTAATGTTCTTTTAGTCTTCAACGTTCCACACTTGAAAATATTTATTGGATTCAACCCTTTCTCCTAAAACTTTGTGAAAGTCTAAGTGGAGTACTTATTAATAATCATAGTAACGGAGAAGCTGATTTCTTTTTAATTGAAATGAAATATTGGAAAAAATAATTAATTTAATTTAAGTGGAGTAAGAAAATCAATTGAAAACCCCTTGGCGCATATTTCTCTTGTAAATATGACTCCCCAACCACTTAAGGATATCATATAGAAATTTACTACTCCCTCCGTTCCCTTTTGTTTTTGGCGTTTGGAATTATGTACGGCTATTAAGGAATTGTGTAAAGTAAGGTATATTAGAATAATTCAATGATTGATAGTACCAATATAGTTGAAAAAAGAATATAGTACATGTGGGGTAAAGGAAGTAGAAGAGATAGGAGAGAGAAAGTATTGGAAAATTATTAAAATAGTACAAAAAGTACAATTGCACATGAAAAAGTAAGGACAAATGAGTATTTAGATTGTAAAGCAAGGGTAATTTTATCCAATACTTATGACTATAAAAAGGAAAAATACTAAATGTAAAGAATAAAAAGGAACACCTAAAATAGAAACGTAAAAAACAGAAGGGAACGGAGGGAGTACTTACTAAAGCTGTCCTTTTGTTGGGCCACTGCTAACACCTTGGTTGATGGAAAGTTTGAAGCATCTCATGGGTTTTTTGTTGGTTTATCTACTTTGAGTAGCTTTAGTGATTTATAGAACATCAACAAAGCCTTATTTCCAAAATGATTTGGGGTTGGCTAACATGAAGCGTCGTAAGGAACTAGCTTTAATGATTTATAGTTAAGGAAAATATAGTCATGTGGTGTCTTGTGAATAATGCTTACTCTCTCTCTCCCTCTCCCTCTCTCCAACGAACTCAAGTTTTATGCCTCTTCTCAGTTCTATCCTATCCACCAGGGGTAATTGTTCTACCAACCTACCTATCACCTTTTAAGTCATTTTGTTGTGATATTAGTTTGAGGCAGCAGGGTGGTGGCATTGGTGAGGAATGGGATATTTTCACTGGATTAATAAAAGCTATGTGGTGGACTGGTGGCAGACAGTGGGTAGGGATGAAGGGGTTGAAGCATCTCATGGATTTTCTTGGTTCTTTGCCTTTTTTCAACGAACCCCAATTATTCTCTCTTTTCAATTCTGAACCCATACTAACATGGGAAATTTCTACCAACCTGCTAGTTACCTTTCAAGTGTATATGTTGTGCGGTCAAAGAGGAGAAAGACAAGGGTTATTGAGGGCTTGAGACAGCAGTGGTGGCAGAGAAGAGGAACGGGAGATTGTCACTTAATTAAAGAAACTATGTGCTGGCAGCAGAAGTGAGGAGAGGCTTGAGGGTTTGCCAGAGAAGGGGAGGGGCTTGAAGGGAACAAATGAGGGATTTTGATTTTCTATATTTTCTTTTATAAATTTTGAAACAGCTCAATGAAAACACCGTGTGCCTTACCTCTAGAATGGATCAATATGTCGGTGATTTATCAGATAATAGTTTTAAATTTACGGATTTATGGGTTGATTTCTTTTTGCGCTTCAGTAGTCTTTTTTCTCTACAAATTATGATTTTACTACCTTGATTGTTGGTGGCATTAGTTTGAAGCATCCTTGATTAAACAAATTGCCAAAGCTTTTGCTTGTGTCAGAAAGATGATTGCTGATGGAAATTAAATGACATGGTATCCTGGATTTTAAAAAATAAATTGCATGCATTACGTAGTTTTTTTTTTTTTTTTTTTTTTTTTTTTTTTTTTTTTTTTTGAAAGAAATTGCATGCATTTATGTAGTTAGAAGATAGAATCTTATTTTTTTTTTCTTAGTTGGTGTGTTATATGTAGCCAGATCAAAGAATTTTTCTTTGAGTGCTCTGTTTCATATTTGCATTGGTTGAAATATATGGTGGATGAAATGTCATTTCCTTATTTGCTAGTAGAACTATTTCTTGGAGATAGTTGATTTTAAATTTGGCCAACTACTTGTGTTAGCAGCTGAAGCTGTTTTTCTACTATCCATGGACAACAAATTCTTTGGGTGGTGTGTGGCAACTAGATCATTCTTCTTGTAATGTTTAAGAGCATAGAATTAATTATTTTTGTTGGCAATTATTTTGAGTTAAGTTGGGGTTGAATTATGAATGGAACAGTTGTTAATGAAGTAGAAGTATTTTCTTAGAATTTGGCAGAAGTTTATGTATAACATTCTCGACTCTCTGTTGATTTTTAATTACTTGATTTGTCAATGGAGATGATTGATTGATTTTTTTGGGTGCAATCATTTAAATATTTTTAACTACCTTGGTCTGTATGCCTAATTTTGTACACTTAATTACTTTTGCAGCTGGAAGTTTAAGCCTGGTTCCGACAACCGAAATCATTAATTTTACTGGAAAGCTGCTTTCAGATTCCCAGGCCAAGGTTTATAGGAATGGTTTGAAGATGCCAGCTATGATCTTGGATGAAAAGGAGAAGATGTCAAGGTTTTTGTCGAATAATGGATTAGTTGAAGATCCCTGTGCAGTTGAGAAGGAAAGAAGTTTGATCAACCCCTGGACTTTTGAAGAGAAGGAGCTTTTCATGGATAAGCTAGCTACTCATGGGAAAGATTTTCGGAAAATTTCTTCTTTTCTTGATCATAAGACTACTGCTGACTGCATTGAATTCTATTACAAAAACCATAAATCAGAATGTTTTGAGAAAATCAAGAAGCTAGAGGTGAAAAAGATAGGGAAGCCTATATCTGCCAACACATATCTGGTGACCTCTGGGAAGAAATGGAGTAGGGAGATGAATGCTGCTTCTCTTGATATTTTAGGTGCAGCTTCAGTTATTGCTGCTCAAGCTGACCAGGCCTTGGAAACTTCAAAGTTGCTTCTAGGAAAATCTAGCAACAAGAGATCAAGAGGATCAGATGGAATCATTGAAGAATCTAGTAGTTTGTTTGGTGCTGAAGATGAAAGAGAGACTGCGGCTGCTGATGTTTTGGCAGGCATCTGTGGTTCGTTATCATCAGAAGCAATGAGTTCCTGTATCACTAGCTCTGTCGATCCTGGTGAAGGCAACCCGGAACGGAAGCACCAAAAGGTTGGTTCTTCCATTAGACGGCCTTTGACTCCGGAGGTGACACAGAACGTTGATGATGATGATACTTGTTCAGATGAGAGCTGTGGAGAGATGGACCCTGTTGACTGGACAGATGATGAAAAGATTTTGTTTGTGCAGGCATTCTTGTCTCATGGAAAGGATTTTTTGATGATTTCTCGACGTGTGAGGACAAAGTCAAGTGATCAATGTAAAGTTTTTTTCAGCAAGGCACGGAAGTGTCTTGGTCTGGACATTTTACCCTCTGGCAGTGGAGGAAATCATGCAAGCGATGATACTAATGGGGGAGGAAGCGACACTGAAGATGCTGGCATTGTGGAGACTGGTTCTATTGTCTGTAGTGATAAATCAGGTTCGAGAATAGATGAAGACCTGCTGCAGGTTAATCAAGATGTGTCAAAACCTGATGTTACTATTGAATTGAATGCGTTGGAAGAAAATTGTGGTCCAGGACAGTTGGATCATAAAGATTCTGATTTGGTACTGAAAGATTTGGTTCCACAAGGTCACCTGGCAGACGTCTCAGATCCACTTGCTTGTTGTGGGATGGTCGATGTCATGGTTAAGGACTCTGCTACAGCTGTTGATACCAAAAGACCTGAATTTCATCTGATGATCCAGGATGATAAAACTAAGGTGAACACATTACTTTGTAGAAGTGCTACTGATGTTGCATGTCACGATTCAGGTGTTGCTGTGGATATGGAAGCTGCTTCTGGAATCTCTGACAGCATATCAGAAGTGCATGTATCTTCTGCGCCCGTCAAATTTGTAAATCCTAGAGATGGGTTGTTTAAATCATCGTCTGTGGGTAATGTGCATCATCTTCTGTCTGGTAGCTCTATGATGAATCAAAGTGAACTCTGTCGAGATTTGAAAGGTTTCCCATTAGACCTGTCAGTCAAGTCAGAATTGCATGATGTTTGCACTGTTGGAGATGAGAGTATTGATCAATCATATCAACGTTCTTTTCTCAGAAAGTGTAGTCGTGCTGTATCTCACAACTCAGTTGCTGAGCTTCCTCTTCTTCAACAGAGTGAAGATGAACTTGGCTCCAGCTGCTCTTCAAAAACAGAGAAGTCATGTAGAAATGGTAATGTGAAATTATTTGGAAAGATACTCAGCAAAACATCTTCAGTTGATAAACCGACTTCTAATGCCGTTTTGCATGATGAGAAGGCGAAGCACCATTCCAATCAAGATGTAAATGGGAATTCTATGAGCTTTGCTGATGACCATAATAGTTTTTTAGGTCTGGAGAATGTTCCAATTAGGAGTTATGGTTTTTGGGATGGAACTAAGATACAGACTGGTTTTCCGACTTTGCCCGATTCAGCTTTGCTACTAGCCAAGTATCCTGGTGCATTTTCTAACTACTCAATATCCTCGCCAAAGTCAGAGCAACAACCCTTGCCAGCAGCTGTGAATGGTAATGAATGCAATATGAATGGTGCTTGTGTTTTCTCGCCGAGGGAGTTCAGCAGCAGTAATGGCGGGAATGTTATAGATTATACGATTTTAAGAAACCAAGATGGTCTGCAGCCTTTTAGACTAGATATGAAGAAAAGGCCTGAGGATGTCGTGTTCCCTGAGGTGCAAAGGAATGGTTTTGAATCTTTAAAGCAGCAGGGAAAGGGTGTGGTTAAATTGAATGTTGTACAGGGAGGAGATATTCTTGGAGGTTCATGCAGTGGGATTTCAGATCCCGTTGCGGCTTTGAAATTGCATTATGCCAGTCAACAGTATGGTGGTGTCGGAGGTCACTCAGTAAATGGGATTGTTAGGGAGGAACCTTGGAGAAGCCAAGGAGGAGATGTAGGGAGGTAGTAGGAATGCCAGGGGTCTTTAACAGGAAGGCCCCCTGGTGTGGCAAATCGTCTTTGTTTGCCACAGTTGTACATTAGGTTTTTGTATTGTTGAATTCATCTCCTTTGTTCTACTGAAAGATTTAATTTAGGTTGCCTTAGATTGCTTGTAATATTGCAGGGTTTGCATTTGTTGTATTCGATGGAAGATACAAAAAATAATCTGGAAGAAATTTTGGGAGGTGAGGAATTCATAGTCAATCTTACGGCCTCCGTCCATCTGTCAACAAATTAATAGTCTAATGTTTTTGTTCATATGCAGTTCTAAGTTTAATGAAAGAGAAGATCATAGTTCTGGTTATTATTTCTATCGCACTTGGTTTCTCTTGAGGCCTAAAGTCTCTGATTTTTGAAGTTGTTGCTGTTATGTCAGCATTGATTTTTTAACTTCTGGATCTCACTTTAAGACGGATACTATGGATTTCAGCTATTAATTGAATCATCCATTTAATCAACTTTGATTAGAGAATTTGAAGGGGTACATCGACTAAAGATCAAATAATTAAACAAAATATTGCACTTACTAGTACATTTAATAGGGTACAACACATTAAACCGATAAAACAAAATTGTCAGCGACTTCCTCAACTACTCTTCCTTTAATTTTAGCATAGATGGTAGTGGTGCAATGATCCTCAGAACCTGCAAAGATTGAAAAGTTGAAAATTGATCTCATGGCAATGGGGAATGGAACTTGGAAATAGAAGTATCAACACACAAGCACAAGGCATCAAGCTCAAAATATGGGGGTGAATAGAGAGTATTTGTAAGTCATTAGACTGAGCAAGTTCCCTGTGCCACCTACTATCTATAAATGAACATAACACTTATAAGAGTACTAGTCAGATAATGTGATTTGTAAATACATTAGACTTATTTTATGTTGGCTTTCCTAGTGCACTTGATGAAAAGTCAGTATTAGATAGCAACTACCAAGTCTGCTAATCGCTTATCAGGGAGAAGAGGGAAGAGGGAGAGGACATAAAGCAAATTGTTGTTCTTAATTTCTTATGGCAGAAGCTGAGATGAGTTGAGCTAAATGTTGTTCTTATGGCAGACGCTAAACATCAGCATACAGTCGTTCAAATGTTGTTACAAGCAATTATATTTTCGAGAGGTAAATGTCCAATTTCAACATCTGCCAGTTGATTCATGCATAATCTCACTAAGGTATGTTTCCTGTTTCCAACCAGGAACTCAGAAATTTAGTGGAAACGTTTAAAACCAGCAAGATCACTCTATTATTCTTCAGTCACCAAATGACCCTTTCTTTAGAAAAATCATTTGAATAGACCAAACTAACTTTAATGCCATCTTTATATACATATCTTGTTAATATAAGAACAATAATAAATAACATGAGATTCCTAAGCAAAAATATTGATCTATTGCTTTAATTTATAAAATTTGTTCCCTCTAATAATTGCTTCTAAGTTGTCATTTCTCATTTCCGTTATAGATATGCTGTTGTCAATGTGTCTATGGTCAAAGAAAATATTGTTATCACTTTCATTCCAGAGCATGTAACTGAAACAGACTCATCATCACAAAACAATACTAACCGAGCTTAGATGAGAATGAGAATAAAACGCGTAAATGCACTAATCTTATAATTACCTCATTTGAAGTAGGGTGGGATAGAATCACTTCATGTGCGTGCAAGTGATACCCACAGTCCCCGGGAACAGGTTTTGTAGGCCGTTGATACCCTCTACATATAGTAAAGTTCATTTAAGATAAATAAATTGACAAATGCAAAGACAATAAAAACACCTCCCGTGGCCTGTAATCTGCATACAGCTACTAGTACATTGAATGAATAAGCATCTGCGAGTCTGATGACATACTTTTCTAATCCAAGATATAAAGCCGTTAGCATTTCCACACATCACAAGAATTCGGTTAAAACAAGTTTATATCATATTGGTATTATAAAGTGCCTCACCTTCTATTGTTAATTACAAAATGACCTAATTTGAGGTACCTACACTTACCTTATACAACTTAACTTTTTTATAAATAGAAGGTGATAGTATAAAGGAAAATCACATTACTAACTAAAAATCACATTACTAATAAAAAAACCCTTCACGGGACCCTTTTTTTTTTTTCTTTTCTTTTTTTTTTTCCCAACATCACCCATTAGAATTACCAAAAGTTAACTAATGGTAATTAAATTGAATTCAGAGATTTTAGTAAAATATAAACAACAAAACTCCCCTTGTTTCCCAAATTTGCTCATCAATCTTATTTATTTTCTTGGAGAAATAGAATTTGGAGAGGCCTTCTGCAATTTATATTCTAGTAAACATCTTATCAATTTAATCAACTTTAATGAATTTATATTGAACGTCAACATTATATATGTAATGGGAAGTGATCGAAAAAATTGTTCACTTATAAGGTGTTTAGTACAACTTATAGTAAGGATTTATGGGAATATTCTAATATGACTTTCAATTTGGATGTGAAAGAGTATAACAAAAGCTGCCTTAGAAGTTGGAAGCATCATGAAAGAGAAAGGCCACACACAGAGAAGTATTTGATAGTTGCAGCATCAACAATTACCCACAAAGGCTTTTTTTTTTTGACAAGACCCACAGAGAAGTATTTGATACTTCCATTATATCTTTACTTCTTAAGGACAGGCTACAACATATAAGCTGTAGTACTGCTTATTAGCAATTTGTTAGCCATGTAGTCTCCATCTCCCGGAGCTCAACAAGATAATTAGCAAAGACCTGCCTACATACATGTTCATAATCCCCCCACAAGTTGGTTTGCATGCTTTGTTCAACAGATTAAACATGAGAAGGTAAAAGAAGGGATCCAAAATTTCATTACCCATCTTCTGCAAAGTCCTCCTCAACAAGCTCCGAATCAAAACACTCTGGTTGACCACCAGCAACATAGAGAGGATCATCTGAAATGTTAAAAACGACTATGGTATAAAGCAATATTTACTAAGTGGAAACAATCTCTACAAAGCAATATCATATTATCCGCTTCATTATCCATTCACATAAACAGATATTTTAATAAATGGTGCTATTTACAAGAAAAAAATCTAAACGGAAATCTCAGCTATTTGCAGTATCAATTCTTGAAAGACTCTGAAAATTCAGTCTTGTGAAGTTTTCGGGGACTGCTCCAAGTGGAATCAGCTTTGCCCATGACCAGCCGGAAAAAGTGAAGTCATATCCAAAAACTCACAAAAATAACACTTCACAAAGAGGGGCAATAATACAAAAGGTGGCTACATGTAAAACCATTAAACACTTTTGGGAGCAAAAGCATAGAGGGGGAGGGGCAAAAGAGTAAAGAGCTACAGAGATACAAATCACAGTATGTTAACACAAAAGGAACCTTTTGGACTTTTAGTTGGATGCAACATCCATAGATTAATAGAATTAGCAATTAATTTTAACCACTGATAAAATGGGTCAAGAAAAGGCATAGAAGTATGAAGAGTTTATCAATTTTGACATAATAATTGTACTACGGGAATACTCCATACTTATGTCTATTCTACCAAATATCAAGGATATTATAAATCACTGAATGACCAACATGTGCTTCAATTTTTCTGGATTGTCAGATAATTAGCATCAGATTTTGTTCAGCATGGAAAGAAATTTTACATTCATTGACCTAAGAACACTGGACACTGGCGTATCGATCAAATATATAAGAATACCTTAGAGATGTAATCAAAAGTTTACCTAACAGTGGATACCCTATCAGGGATAGATGAATACGTATTTGGTGAGGCCTTCCTGACTGTATCTCAACCTGTTCAAGTAAGCCACAAATGAGAATAGTGGAAAGCTTCCTGATGCAAAGTTAAAACGAGAATAGTCAACTCTGATGGAAAAAGTCTCTACATAATCCATCTTCACAAAGCTAAAGAGTCAGGTTTACAGTTATTAGCTTTTGGTAAACATCAATGTGGCCTGCATGTGCTTTTATTCTATTTAACAAATACTCTGTCTCTCTAGTTGCAAATATGACACTTCATATATCATAATCATATTAAAAGCCACAAGGCCCTGCTCTATAAGAGGAGACACAAGCAACATGATCCTCATACTTGCACATAAGTTCTTTAGCCAACCACCCTCACCACACTTTGTGGACCAGCAAAACAAAAACACTTCCCATTATATTAGCGGAGCAACAGTACATATCGCTTCCAACAAAAGTGGCTTTCTAGCATTGAAAATGCTTTAGGAAACCATAGATACAGGCGTCTAGACAACCAACAGCATCGGATATATTCAAAATTTCAGATATAAAGGTAAGTCACAGGTGCTTGAGAAAATAGTGGTGAGCATAGTACCTGCACCAGTGACTGGTCTTTCTCAAGATCTCTTTCAAGAACCCTGACTTTGCTTAGGGCTGGTTTACCTAGTTAAAATGAGGGGAAAAAATCAAGATTATGCATCCATAAATTTTTTCTAGTAAACTCTACATGGAACTTTTATTCTCTCTTTCACCGCCTCTCCTCTGGCACACAAAACCGATTACAGAATAAGAATATTGCCTTATAGCTGTTCGTTAGATGGATTATTCTGGAACATTTAGCGTTGGAATAAAAACTACTACTATTTCTATCCCATTCTATTTTTACGTAACAAAATTAATTTTACAGAAGGTTCTTTTGAAAGGCATAAAGCTCGAGATCAGGGAGGGAAGACCGGCCACCTTTAAGGCAAAAGGCTTTGGAACAATCCCGAGTGCATTCGGCCTTCTTGCATTTTCTCGGGAACCAACTCCGAAGTAAGAAAGAGGAAAGACAGGGTGAATGAATTGCATTAGTGCAATTTGGCTAGTCATTTAGAAGTTAAATGAATTAATTTCCTAAATGTCATTTATTCATTCAAAGAAATGCCCATAATTTTCAAAACATGAAGCTTTTACTTTCAGTTATTACTTAATAACATTTTCTCGTATAATTTGAGAAATCAAAGAATTAAAAAAAAAAAAAACAACCACCCCATATCACTTGAAATAGAAATGAGGGAGTATCATACTAGAACATAAAAAGGCTGTAAGATAAAAAGTAGTAGTCTTGCTCCTGCAAGAGATCTTTTATGTTTCAGGAAATGTTTCATCACGAGACTTAATCACTTAATATTGAACATGCTCTTTTAAATTGCATGATATGTTCTTTATGTTTGCAATTAAATGAGCATGCCAGTGTATTGAAAAGCACGTGTGCAGTGAGAGCCCGATGAGCTTATTGTGTGGTTCAGGTTGATCATTGTAGTTCCATTATTGCTCTATGCGCTTATTTCTCTCTATATATCTCATATCACATGGGTCCTCTTTTTTGTTTCTTTCTATCTCTCTTATCTCCGTGATTTTAAAAGTGATGCATTAAAAAAAAACAGAGGAATTAATAATATTAGGAAATTTTGTATTTTACCACCCACATATATGAAATTACCACCCATAAAAAACACTCATTTTAAAATACCACCCCCCCCCCCCCAAAAAAAAAAAAAAAAAGGTTTCGCCACCATTTAACACTTTCTGTTAAGAAAACCTTTTAATCTAACGTTTTATAAAAAAAATTCTTCGGTTTTGTGCCAGGGGTCATTTTTGCCTTACAAAACCGATTTAAGGTCAAAATTTACGAAAAATGATTGGAAATGCCTTGTAAATTCGTAAATAGCAATGAGAAAAATTTACCCATGTGGCCATGTGATGTATATGACCTTTATTGTATATTTCTATTCCAACACCTACTTTGCCAAGCTAATATTCATTTTAAAAAGTTCTAGTAACTAGCCACCCTCTGTTTCAACAACTATCAGCTACTCAAAAACTACAAGGTAATCGGTATTTCTAATTTTTCCAAACATGCCCTGGCTTGAAAAAAAGTATAGTAACATATGAAGGTAGTGAATCATACTTGGAGATCTCTAACCTATTAGAGATGTGCTTCAAGGTTAAAGTTGAAAATTTAATTATTGTATGATACGAAATTATGAAGTATTAACAATACATGCAAAACTAAAAAAATTACATGATGGCTTTACACCGTTGTCCTCTAAGGCCTCTAAGAGTACTAAATTGATATAGGAACAAAAATTGAATTTAGATAGAAAATAACCTGAGGGCAGTGCAACATATAGACCCTTAGCAACCCCAGGATATCGTATAATTCCAATTGGCTTGTTGATCAGAACCTGTCAATTCATTTATTCCAAGGGTAAATGGATGCCGGGTTATGGTGTTTACTCCCAGGGTAAAAAAGTTGTATAAAAATCCAAATAGAAAGTGTTACTTTTTTTTTTTGGGAATACCTCATTCGTGTCTATAATCCCCTTGACTAGTGCCCGATATGTTTTGGTTATCCTTCGTTCTACTTCATTCTCTGAGTCTATCTCTCTGCAATGCGTCAAATGTAATTTTAGGCAGTTAATAATGGTAGTTTATGATCTAAAACCATAATTCAAAAGATTAAAAAAACAGCTATCAAAAGAATAAATCTACAGCAATACAATAACTAACAATAATATAACAAAAGTAACGATCACATGATATTGTCCAGAAGTACAAGGAATCGGACAGCAACTGGGCTTTTGTCTACTAAAATTCCCAAAGTTGCTTTCTCTTCACACTCATACATGGAGCTACAGATACTGCTCTAAACATTTCACTTCAGATATACATATCCTTTTATTGTTTTATGAACATCTAACTATATGCTTAAGCCCCAAGATACATCAGACTTTCATGTATCTCAAACCAAAGGATCCTCAGTCATCAATCACACAAGAGCTGCAAGCCACAATATCCATCTTTAACATTACAGAATATGGTAAAAAACACCAGCTGATCTAAATAACTCCTCTTGTAACCAAGGATCCTCAATCAAGCAAGAGCTGTAAGCTAACAGAACACTGTTGTAGTGGTCTTTTTAAAAGATTCCAGACACATCTTTGCAATAAGCTTCTAATCAGGCCAGAAAAAATTAAAAAGCCTTCTCTGAAAGCTATTCAAGCATCGGCCTTTCAGGTATAATATAGTAAATTTAGCATAAACAACAAACTAACTGTTATGTGAACATGCTCCATATCAAGGTTTTGTTTTCACAAAACTGTAGGTTCAACAATTACCACTAGCACACAGAATTATTAGTTCTGATCCTCCACAATTCCACAGAACCAAACCAGAGCATGTATAAAACTTAGTGACTTAAACCTTATCAAGATCTCATGTACTCTCACAGAGTGATCAAATTATGAATTTAAGTTAATAGTAATTTCTAGCTCACTTTATCAACAACTACTGAGTTGTTGAAGGCCGTGAAGCCATAGGCAATCCCAAAGAGGGCATTTTGACCGGGATGGAGGGACTAATTAGTGAGACAAGCTTAAAGAAATTATGAACAAATTGTATCAAAGGAGTCAATTTTACTAGCCTTTTTCCTCTCACCAATGATGTCCCGTCAGCAAAATATGCAGCAAGGCGAGCCTTAGCACTCTTCGTCTTTGCACAAAGCAATACACCTGTCATAGAACCAATCACCACATGACAAATAAGTGTCAATAAATTCCAAACAGTAATTTTCACTCACCAAGAAAGGAATCTCTGAGTACACCAAGTATAAAAGTAAGCGCAATGCAAAGATATATACAGATGTCATTCTGAATAAGATAAATATTGCAAAATCGTTACAGGAATGTAAAAATATATTATTAACACTCTTTTTTGATTAAAATTTGAAGTTTTTAAAGGTTCTCGCACCGGTATGACAGTTCAAGAGCTTTTAGCCTGTCCATACATTATTTACAAACAGATATAATTTACAACATATTTATCATTTTAAGCAACTTGACTTTTACTGAATAGAATAAGTAGGCTAAACTTAATTCACTTTTATTTATTAACTTACATTAACCACAAATGCTATTTAAAATAATTACTTCCAGCATCTGTGTTCACTCAATGCTTTCTGTGAATCTTAAGACATTACTCGAAATAATAATACTCAAACATGTTCTATTAACAAGATGATAAGAACAAGTGTTCAACAACTTCATGCATTAAGAAAAAGAATATTACACTAAAAATCAGGTTCACCAACACTTACAATTGAAGTTCACTATTCAACAAGAAGGCTGACCTGATGTGCCCCTGCCTAGACGGTGAACAGGAACAGGATGAAGTTGACCTGGTGATGAATTGCCATTCTTGTTCGCATGCCACTTTAACTGTGTCAAAACAGTACGCTGCTGGAAGAGTCCTCCAGGTAGAACTTGCAAACCAGACGGCTTATTTATAGCAATCTGTCATGTAGCACCAAATATAAGCCAGCATGAATTTCTACTACGATCGAATGGAAAGCTCAAACTATGGATGCATAGAACTGTAGGAATAAATGGCTATTACGAATGCAAGGTTTTATCACCATCAACTCTCATGCAATTGACAAAGGATTTAATTACAAAAGCTTGTCCAGGTTTTGATCTGGATTACACAAGTAAATTTGATATATGTGTTTTATGTGCTATTTTATCCCCCGTCTCACGGTCATTTATATGCATATTTGGGCTATTTGGAGCTACTTTTAGTACTAATGTGTGGTTTTAAGTGTTTTGTAGAGTTGGCATTTGTTTTGTAGGAATTTCCCGGTTTGCCGGCAATTCATATGGTTTTCCGGCCACTACGAGATGATGAAGCTTGTAGCACACTCATGACCGTTGATTATAGCCCAAGACTGATCGTATCGGTGACTAAGGGCTCGGTTCGTGGAATTGGTCCGAGCAATGGACCAAGGAAGTGTCGGGCTCTTGATGATTGAAGCCAAAGGAAACAAAGAAGAGAAAGCCACGGTCAAAGAAGAGCCGGGCCTGATTGGCTGCTGATCGGGCGGTTGACAAACAAGAACATGAGCAATAAGGCGGACCCGTGTATTTCCAAAATCACCCTACTTTGATTAGACTAGGTATTGATAAACAAGTTGAAAAATTATTCAAGGGAATTGGCATGACTAGTCTGTTTAACTTGCATTATGATGCATATGATTATTTAACGGTAGAATTCATATCTACTTTTAATTTAATTAAGTCACGTTCAACTGTTTATCATGTTCAACTTCGATTGCTTAATAATGATGTGAGACTATCTTTAAAAGATTTTGGAAAAATGCTTTTGACTTGAAATCCGACAAAACCATTGAACCACCCCAAGACTTTTGTGTCGAGGTTTACTTAGTCCTCACGGGGGAGGTTTTAGAAAGCTTCCAACATGCTAAGGGGACCATTATTCACCATCCCGTGCCAAAATTTTGGCAAAGATTTGTTAGTCTCACCATCTTTGGGAGGCATGAACCGGCTAATGTTAGGAGGGATGATTTGGAATTGTTGGCCTCCTACTTTATTCCAAGGTGTGGGAAGTTGAACATCCCCCTTAGGATGGCTCAACACTTCCAACGTAGTGCTAAGGCGGTCGAAACCTCTTGGGCTAGGACTCTTATTTATTTTGGTGGGTTAGTAACCCACATTACGATTAAATTGAAGGGTTTTACGCCTAATAGCCATAGGAGAGTGGACGGCCCTACCTTTAAGGACCTTACGTATTTGGGAAGCCTAATGTGAGTCAGCCCGATGAGATGTTGTGGATTATTCATAGGGAGTCGGGTAGGAGAGACCAAACCTTCAAATTGCCTAACCTCGCCTTGACCAAGTTTGACAAGGGTAAGACCAGTTACACATTCGAGTAAGGTAATCCAGGAGAGGCACAAGAGGCTCACCATTCTCTACCTCAATCTCCATCTCACCCACAACCACCACCCCAACCTTACATGCATGACATCCTTACCTCTTCTGTTAACTACAACATCGATCCTAATGCAATTTATGACTTCTCGGCTTTTAGGAGCCAACTTGATTGGATAGAGATGGGCCAAGGAAGGGTAGAGGGTATGGTTCAAAACCTTGACTCTAGGGTGGGTTCTCTAGGACGGGTTGGACATGTGGAACGGAGCCTAGGGAGGGGTCTATACCCTATGTATGATGACTATGCACGCCGAGGGGATAATCTCCCCGAGGCTTTGGTTCCCGATTGGTTTTTATATCCTCGAGGAAGATATTCCACCCTGATGCTTTTGGTAGTTATGTGGACTATTCTACCGTCTATGGTTACGGAGCCGATGTTCCTTTTGGTGGGCTTGGGGGGAGTGTAGACCCTAACTATTTTGCAGGTAGTTCGGGTCATGGAGGTGCCGGCTCCAGCCTTGGAGGTTGGACCGGTTATGCTCGGATGGATGCAGATGATGATGATGATGAGTAGCTTTTCGTAGCTACATTCCCAAGATAATGAGAGCATTGCTTGATTTGGCTTTGGAGGAGATGATTTTGTATATATGGTATTACTCTCTCTTTTCTCTTTTTTTATTGCTTTTTTAGGATAGTTAGATCTAGTAAATTGCAAGAGCCTGTTAGATCTAGTAAATTGCGAGAGCCTGTTAGATCTATGTTGATTAATAAATTGCGAAAGTCTGTTAATCATGTTATATGTGCAATGTTAATTATTAATTGTTATGTTTTATCTCGGGATATTAATTATTGGTGAACCTGTGACCCTACGCTTCTTATTATCGTTTTATCTTGGGATATTAATTATTGGTGAACCTGTGACCCCGGGCTTCTTATTATCGATTTCTCCCTTTTTATTCTCCTTAGTTTAATTCACCTTTAAAAATAAATTGGTTACTTAATAGTTTAGATTATACTACTTAATTAGGAATAGAAATGGTTGTTTCCTTGTGGATTCGACCCTATTTCCCTATCTATTATTAGTTAGTGGTTTTAGGTTATTTTTTTGATTAGATGATACGACTTTAGCCTCTCAAAATCTGACCCTTTCACATGCCTTTCCAGTTTAGATTGACGTATCATTAAGACATTAACTTCCCCAATAAGCACTGAGTTTGAACTTCCAAAGAATTATACAGCCAACCTTAAGAAAAAACCTCAAAATTATTTAAAAGTATTATCATCCTATTAAACAATTTAACAAATAGTATTTTTCACAAATTATATCGTATACCTCATAGCACCATGCATGAGGTACTCCATTTTTTTTTAAAAAAAAAGGACTTAAGGTACTCCAATTTTTAAGGTACTTCAATTAACTATGGTCTTAAATTGTATTTTTTTGAGTGATTAAATTTGTGTATGTATATACTCTTAATGAGTACTTTATATATTCCTATCCATAATTGACAAAGATTAAGTTTATTACAAATAAAGGGCATATTTATTTGCCCAAGAGCACCATTTAATGATAAAAAAATGTATATTCTTCACAAAAGAACAATACTTATTGCACAAATATCAATAAATTACAAAAATTATTCCCTCGGTCCCTTTTTGTTTGCACCATGGGCCCACTTTTTTGGGAGCTTTTTGGGTCAATTTGTGCAAACAATAAGGGACGGAGGGAGTACAAGAAATACATGAAAAAACCAAATGCAATTAGCATTAGAAATATTTACCATGTCATCATCTTCATAGAGCACTTCGAGCAAAAAAGGTGTCTCGGGCTCACTCCACGGAAGTCGATGATAAACCAACTTCGAACCAACTCTACAACATTTAACACTCAATAAATGGTAGTTAAAATACTTAAATTAAAAATATCCATATACGAAAGGGAAAAAAAATTAATACTTCCATCAAATTCCATCATTTAATTACAAACTTCACAATTATCAATTTGGCATTTTCCAAATCAAGCTTCACACTTACTTTATGATTAAGTGGATATCATATACTCCCTCCATTCATAATATTTCTACATTTGTTTGTGTGTGAGCCAAGTTTGTAGACTTCCATCGAATTTTCTTACATGCAAGTATAATAAAACAAACAATAATGGGATATAGTAAAAATCCATATCAATGCTTAATTTTAAAAGCATCAAATTTTTATAGTAATTAAGAATGCAAATCAAAGATATTACGGAGTAACACCTATTCTTAATTACAATTCTTATGACCAAACCGAGGGCTATAATCAAATTATTGATGGTCTAGTACTCGTATTTTAGTTGGTTAAAGTCTTGGAATAGAACCCAAGACAGGGTTAAGTCCAGTCCACATCATCGCCCTTTGTAACTCTCTATACACATTTTCTTTCAAAAAAAACCTTAAAATAATACTGACCTAAGAACAGTATCTGGATCAGTAACAATGTCCCCATCAATTGTAATCTGTCCATTATGAATTCTCTGTAACCAACTGATTAAACCAGGAAACACATTAAACAATCAGAAATCAAATAAAACTACGAAAAATCAGATAAAATAAATCAAACCCTCTAATTATCAAACAAAATAAAACAAACCCATTAATTATCATTCATTTATAAATGATTCAATTTCAACAAATTGAAGAAATTGGGGAAAATAATAATAGAAAATTATATAGAAATACCCCTGTAATGGAGCTGAGCTAGAGTAATTGGAGGAGTAGAAATTGATGAGAGTTAAACCTAGAGAGAGAAAAAGAGGAGAGAGAAGGTGTTAGTATGAAATTGAAGAGAGTGTTGAGTTGTGTAGTTGCAGGTTAAGGGATGAAGGTGGAAGAGAGAGAAAACCTGAAGAAGAAGGGGAAATGACGTCGTTATAAGTGAGACCGTCGTTGAATTCAGGCCATTGTATTCCGATTGCCGTCGTCATTGCTGCTCTGTTTTGGTATTACTAAACTTGGATTATATAAATTCCGATGATTTTAGTAAGGAAATCACGAGAAAATAAAAATAGATTTGTTTCATGTGTTCTCAAAATAAAAATTAGTAATTTCATGTGTGTTTTCTAAGTACAAATTTTAAGTTGCTCATTACGAGTCATTTAAGTATTTCTTACTCGAGATAATTGTGAGTCGTTGTGTAATTTTATTGGTTTAGCCGATGTCTTAAGTTGTTGAGTAACGATTAGATTAAAAGTGTAATTAGGGATGTCAGTGGGGCGGGTCAAGTAGGAGATCCGCCCCATCCCCGCCCCAATGGGGCGGGGATGGGTCTCGGTTTGGCGGGTGGTGGGGTGGGGATGGGGATAAAAACCATACCCGCCATGGGTGATGGGGCGGGGGTGGATTTTAAGTTGTACCCGCCCCATCCCCGCCGCCCCACTTCGTACCCGCCCCATCCCCACCTCATACCCACATCTATATATCTTTTAAAGTAAAATTACATACTTTTATTCAATTTATAAAATAATTACATGAAATACAGTATTAATTATAATACTTTGTACGACACTTATATTATAACACAAAAATGTGTATAAAATGTTTTATTTTATAATTCGTATTAATTATGTAAGATTGTGTGTTTGAGATACAGATATTAGGTGGATCTTGGGTGGGGATTAGGCGGGACTTTGGTGGGGATAAGGTGGGCGGGGATGGGGATGAAAATTGGACCCGCCGCGGGGATGGGGATGGGGATGAAAATATTAGGTGGGGATGGGGATGGGAAGACCAACATCCGCCCCGCCCCGCCCCATTGACATCCCTAAGTGTAATTAATAGCTGTAAAAGTAACAGTTAGATTAAGAGTGTAATCGAGGCTATAAAAGCGTAAATCACTAAGAGGCCTTTTTTAAGGAAATTAATTTCTGAATTGAACTGAAATTAAGATGAAGAAAACAGAACCTAAATCTAGTGATTTTGAGGGTTTACATTGGTTGCATGTTCAAATTTTGATACATACATAAGGTCCGGATCCACCCCTTCCTAATGCTAATTCTCCATTTTTCTTTGTACAAATTTATATTGATGAAGATAGTTTCGTTGTCATCAAATGCTTCTAGGATAATTAAGATGTACAATTGTCCACGAAAGGCTGAAATCTCCAACTTTTAATGGTCATGGATAATATAAAGATCATTTGTGATTAATGTGATCTATTTATAGGGAAACAACTCAAACAAGCTAGATTAGTGTTACATTTCTAAATTAAGTCACAGCATAAATGGCTACATGACTGATATGATTCAATGGTTTATATTGATATGAATAGTGATGGCGACCATCTATGATGGTTTTCATTCCTGTCTTATTTTCAGCTTGATACATACAACTATACAAGATGCAACAATGTAAATTCAATTGTTTGAAAATTACCAGATTAATTCATGAATATGGCATCACGGTCGTATCAAGGCATAATTCAACACATTAGAACAAAGGTATAATATAGAAGAGGAAGCACGAATCCATTTTATTTTCAAGTACTCAACTTCATCCAGACAATCAAACTCAATTGTTTCACACATAAAAGAAAAAAGTGACGTACATTAGCGCCATTAAGAGTCTTTGCCAGGAGATCGTACAGGCAAGTAAGAATAATGATACAAGTTAAGGCACATATACGGCACTGTCTCAAGAACACAGATAGGGATACAATTTCCGGATTTACCAGAGACTAATCTTAGAAGGCGCAAACACCAGCTGACGGCGAAGGCTCACTGGCATGAATAGATAGAGGGTCCCACTTCACCATATCACCGCAGTGCCCGCTACTGTTGACTGTGATCACCGGCGTCATTTTCGGTCCACCAATAGGAACTTCAGTTACGGCAGATTCTTTTGCAGCTTTTGCCTTCAAACGGTACCGCTCAGCCCTAGACCCAATAACCTGACCCAGTATTGAGGCTCCTATAGTAAATGCCATAGCTGTCTTAGGCATCAGGACACATTTCCTCAACATTCCTAAGAAGGGAACTGCTGCATGAACAGCTGCAAACCAAGCGGGTGAAAACTTCTTGGTGTGTTCTCTCCATATACCCAAGGGGACATTTGCTGCCATACCCAGGAGTCCAATCGCGAGCATTTTCGTGGGCAATGGTTGAGGCCGAAGGTTCTTTGCCAAGGCAGTACGAGCAAGAGCTGCTCGAGCCGCAACGATGGCTGGTGGGCACTCAAATTTCACACCAGGAGGGGGTTTAAAGACCTTTGCTACCAATGGTACAACACCACTTACAGCCCTATACGACTTGGCTATAGGACAATTTCCTGACTGCAGCCACTCATTACTCAATGCCTCGTGTTTTCCATTTCCCTATTATAAAAATGTAAGTTCAGCAGATGAGCAGAGTGATATATGTACAAGACTATAATCAAAACATCATTTAATGAATAAAATAGTTTGGTATTCATGATGCGTACTATGAGTGATTCGTAATACATATATCAAGATCCCCCATTAGGTGCAAATGTTTAAAGCTTATCAATTGTAGGATATACTATCAGAAAATAATGTGGTAAGCGCAAATCAAATTGTTGGGTTAAATAACCGTGGAAAGGATGTAGGAAAAAAATCTTTGCTAATGGGGACAGAATGGTTGTTCCCACATGGTGTGCAAATAACTACTCCGTACAATGTATGGTATCACAACAAACAATTAGATTATAAGCAACCCACCCCACCCTCCAAAAACACAAAAACAGGACAGATTGACATAAATGGACCTAACTCGAGCAATGTTCCATAGAGAAGAATCAACCCTTCCAATCCCCAACCACAATAACCTTCCCTAAACCAAATGAGATGTAGAAGTAGTATAGCAATGACAGGAAAATACCTTTGATGATTCAGACTTTTTCTTCTGATTTTTCCACTTCTGAGAGAATGCATCAAAGCTAAATGGCCATCCGGCTCCAAATCCAGAAAGACTGATGGTGGCAGCCTTTGCAGCTAAAGGATTAAACTTTGGTGGAGACGGATCAATCTCTAAATTCTCAGTTTGCAAATGTGACCTCCCAGAAAGCGGTACAACTCCATTACGGCCATGGAATAGACTGAATGCCATGTCAAAATTGGGACCATCTTCAAAAATTGGGCCTTTGGATCCACCTCCCCGCACCTAAGCAAAAGCAGAGAGAGTTGAGCATGTTAGAAGAAATTCAATAGTCACAGAAGCTTATAGAGGAAGAATATGTCTTTTAGACTCTATAGTGTGATTTTTAATCCTAAGCACAAACTAGAACTATATCCAATTATTTCTTTTTGTGATTTTTATAAATATAAGATAATATGTGATCAAAGGTGTGCCTTGGCAAGTGTGTCCGGTCAAAGTGATGCAACTATTGAATAATAGAGTAAGTAGAAAATAACTCCGTAACTTTTTGATGAGCATGTGACTTACAGGAAGAGATAAGGCCAGAGAAGATGAAAAAGAAAAATGCGTTGGTGCATCAATATTCCTCAAAAATGGGCATCGAAGGATATCCTGGTCTGAAGGAAGTGACTCCCCAGCTAATTCTTTGAAGCAAAAGTCCATATCTCCAACGCAATAATTCAGCTGGTGAAAGAGGAAACAAAAATTGAGGAACTAAAAATCTCATTCATTATACAGGAAAGATGTTAAAAAAAATACAAAAGTTTTGATCAGCAGTTAACTCATTCCTAGGACCATCACTAATCAGGTAATTTCAGCATAAAAAGAAGAAAAAAAAAAAAAGGTATATCCATCAACACAAAGCAGTATCATGTAATTAAGTATTGCAAACAAGAGGAAAACAGTTTAGGACTACAAATCCTCAAATCAATGTGTAAATTCTAGACCTTTTCTAGAACCAATTCGGAAAGAAATGAAATGACTCCATCCATCTCAACAGCGAAAGCCATACAAGATTTTAATTAAACAGCACAATTGATAACAAGCACAAAAGGTAGCATTTACATGCCACAATTCTAAAAATGCAAGTAAACCCAAAGGCAAACACAAAGCTAGCACAAAAGGTTAAAATTGTGCAAGGAATAAAGTGAGAATTCGCTTCGCAAATTATACTAAACAAAAGCAACCAAGTTATAAATGAAAAGATCTTTCCCTAAAATGCATTACACATATGGAATTTGATCACTTGGGCAACTCTATAAATAGAATCAAAGAGTAAACACTTCAGTAACTCCTTTTTACAGAACGAAAGAGTCGATTAACAAGGAAGCTGAGCACATAATTACAAAATACACTATCAATAAGTAGCTGAAAATGAAGCATATGGAACTTTAGGTACCTAAAAGATCAGATGTCTAAGCTCTCAACTATGAGGAGCCAAAGGTATATGAATATAAATGGCTATCAAAAAACATATAAACATTAGAATAAACATTATGCAATGTCTGCTATTACAGCATGTAACATGCTCCAAAATAAATTTTATATATGCTAAGCAACATGCTCCAATATTAACACAATTTTCAACATCATATGGTAAAACTCCAAATTCTCCCTTATATATAAAGATTGAGATTTTTCCAAATAAAATGATCAATCACTTTTGAAAATAAAATTAAAAAAGCACTCAAATAAAATTCAACATAATCAACATAAAACCCAGATTACCTTTGAATATCATAATATAATAAATTCAGAAATTAAATCAATTGAGGGTCAGAAAATCCTCAAACACGAAAACACAATAAAATGGCACAAATTATATGTCAACATCAATTTACGAAAATTCAAACCAAACCCAGAAGACCAGATCACATAACATGCATGCAAATCATAATTCTGATTTTATTTGACTTTTTTTTTGGGATAATATAACAATCAAATACAAACCCAATATCCAAATAAATAAAAATAAATTAACTAACTACCCAACAATTACTGCGTGTAAAATTGAACAAAAACCCAGAAAAATCAACAGAAATTGAAAGAACAACAAACCCACTGATCTATGAAAAAAAAAAAAAAAGAAATTAGGGGATTACCTGAAATCGAATCAATGGGAATGAAAATTAAAATTCCTTGTAGGATTAATGAAATTAAGGAAGAAAAAAGAATAAGAATAAAGGAGAAGAATCAATGGGTGGGATTGGGAAGATAAGAGGAGTAAGTATGAATTCTGGGTTAGGTAGGAATGAAGAAATTGAGGAGAGAGAAAGTAGGAAGAAGAAGGGAAGTGCCGTGCTTCCCACACGCCAACTACGATTTTGATAAAATGACAATTTAAAGTCAATTTTATTGCTGAGTCTCTTTCTATTAACTAAAAAAAACGTGTGCTGCTTTAGTTGTATTTGTATTTTCTACATTCTCTATTTCTCTTTTTTATTTTTTTATTTTAATTTTTTTTATTTTTTACAATCATTCTCTATTTCTCTTAATGTATGCAAAATGTGCATTAATAGTGTCCTCTCAGGGCGGGTAAAGGTGATCAGCAATGGCTCGGCTCACTAGCCCGACCTAAAAATAGGGCGAGCTTGGATAAGCTAAAAAGAAAATTTTTAGTTAAAATCTCGAAACCTGGTTTGAAAATTCCCAAAAAGTCAGTTTTGGCCCGACAAATTATCCATTTAAGTTTTCCACCACTCTGGTCAGAATGATCATATGATTGTATATATCTTACATGAAGCAAATCCAATAGTTGATTTGATAGCTAATGTGAGCCATTAGTCATTTAATTAGTGATAGTATGGACGTGATACCTTGTAACAATTATGGTTTATTTTCTATATTTATATTTGATGCATCAAAAACTTTTGTATACAATTACTTAATATTATTATACATCGAGGTAACTTTTGTTGAATTTAATAAAATGTTTAATTTGTCTTGACGCAATAAGAATGTAATTATGAGTAGGGTCTTTCAATGTTTTAAATTTCGGGTCTGTTCATTTCAACTTAGTTCAGTTTAGTTTAGCTCCAATCAGTTCAGTTCAGTGTAGTTCAGTTCAGCTCTAATTTTCTTTTTTCATAAAATATTCATTTAAGCTATATTTAGTTCAGTTCAGTTTACTTCAACTCCAAGCAGCTCAGTTCATTTCAATAAATATGAACAAACCCTTCAACATTATTATAAAAAAAAAAAAAAGGTCTATAATAATTCAACAGCATACTAACTATCTAATTCCATAACACACGATGTTGAAAAGTTCAAATACTCATTCAATATGTATGCGTTGATTGTTAAAAAAAAAAAAAGGTAAGGGAGACTGGGAGAGTAGGGGATGAAGATTTATTGCTTTCATTATTGATGGTAGTATATTGCTGACATACAGATAGCAAGAAATAATGAATTAAGATCCTATCAATCAATTTGTGATAATAAATGTACAAATTTTGATCTTATTTTCTCCAAAATTATGCTATTTTTCTTGATTCCAAGATTTTTTTTTTTCTTATTTATTTTTTAATTGAGCAAGTATGTATCTATAATTGACACTCTAAAAAAAAATATAAAAATTGACACTCCATTACATGGGCATAAATTGATTGTTGCTTGATTTAACCCTTTATATATTAAAAATATATACGAGTATATATAAATTTTTATTTTTTATTTTATTTTATTTTATGAAGTATGTGATTCTTTATGATTTGATATGGTAATATTGTTGATTGAATATAATTAATTTGGTTTACTTTATTTGGATCATGCATGACTTTGGCTTGATTCGGCGCATGGCTTTTGCTTGATGTTCTTGAAATCAATCTTGATATGACAATATTGAATATTTTTGTAGTACTTTCCTTTTTTTGGGATAGTGCACTCCAATATTCCCTTTTATATTCATTGACAACTTATAATGTCATGTTTAATTAGAGTTATCTTATAAAATTATTTAAGTAAATTTGAATCTATGTTCTAGAATATTGTAATCACTTTTGATACTATTTATAGTTTCATACAATTTTCTTTGTTAGATTTGTCTCGATGTATATACTTTGGTGATATTGAGTTTTTATTTTTGTACTGTTAATATTCAAAGATATTTATTGCTTAAATTGTGCTTCGGGAATGAAGTTGGATCCTCCACCTCATGGTTGGTTGCTATATTAGAAGGTTAAAAAAAGTATTTGTAAAGTATTGGATGAAACTTATGATGTGTTTAATATAACATACAATATGGAACTTAGGGTCTGTTCTCATACGTTGAAATTCAGTTAAGTTCAGTTCACATCATTTCAGTTCAGTTCAGCTCCTAATTTCCTTCTCTTATAAAATATTCATTTCAGTTTAGTTCAGTTCAGCTCAGCTCAGCTCAGTTCAGCTCAGTTCAGTCAATGAGAACATGCTCTTATTATGTGAAAGCCAAAATTAAAGACTTAGGGGTTGTTTGGTTGACAAATAAAAACATGGGAAGTTGGAAATCCTACGAATTGAAATTCTTTGAAGTTGTTTGGTTTACAAATTCATGGGAAGTAGAAGTTCCCATGAATTTCCACTTCCCACAAAATGGGGGAAGTTAATTACCTAGGGGGATCTAGGTAAGTGGAATTTCTCATGGAAATTTCCACTTCCCTTAGTTAACTAAACACTTTTTAGAATTTCATAGGAAGTTCAATTTCATGGGAAATCAATTTTCCAAGTAATTTGCAATCCTACATTCAACCAAACGAACCCTTATTGTTCAAAATCTAAGACTCATCATTTTCCAACATCTATAACTTAAAAATATGAGGTCATTTTCTCTTCAGCTTATTTTCAGTTCATTTTAGTTTAGTTTAGTTTTTTTTTTTGAGTTCCTGATTTCCCCCTCTCATATAAAATTCAGTTCAGTTTAATAAATCAGAACAGACCTTGAGACTTTATTTGCATTTCACCACGCACCTTTTTTTTTTTTTTTTTTGACAGGCACCACACACCATCTTATTTTGCTAAGGATTACGTTTTAATAAAATCATTTTTTTTTTGTTAATAATATTTTTACTAGATGATGTGACTATAATCAGAGGAATAAATTATAAATGAAAAAAAAAGAAGTGATTGTTAAAAAGAAAAAAGAAAGTGAGTTTAAAAGTCTGTAAAAGTTCTATCTAGAATTGAACAAAGTTTCTTTTGTGCATTAATGAGTTATACTCTCTTTATCTCTATTATTTGCTCCACTTTTCTTTTTAGATGTCCCAGATTGCATACTATTTTGCATGTTTTTCACTTGCACTTCTCTATCTTCTTCTCATTGATATTTGTGTCAACATGTACAACTTTTTGCCAAACCTTAATAAAGTGATTATGATTTAGCAAACAATTGGAGACAAATATAATGTAAAAAAAAACAAAAAAAAATGGTAATTCACCAGCATGCAGAATATATTATACTAATATTATTTTGCAAGAAGATGAGCAGACATATAGTAGATGATTGCTAAAGTTGACGAATATCTGTAACATAAAAGTAGAATGAATTAAACAAAATCAAATAAAATTACACTTACCAAAACAACTTGTCATCACATGCTATGGCATCTTTCATTTCCCATTGTATAACAGACTTTGTCAAATTACAATTATTAAATTAAAATATTTCATAATTGGTTACAAATATTATTCAATGTATATTCCACATGATATATATCAAGATTGTCAACTTGCTAACATCTCTATCTTATTTTCGGGTATGCCTGGAGTTAGATGTATTTAAAGATATTTGTTCTCATTTTATCAGTTTTGGAGATATTTAAATAAGCAAAGCTAATAAATCAAGCAAAAAATATACATTCACAAAAACACATCTTACCCATTGGAAATGCATTAATCATATTTTGCTTAGTGGTTTTATTTTATTTTATTTTATTTTATTTTGTTTTATTTTATTTTTTCAAAAAAATTTAATGTTTTTATATTACTCTTCTTGCAGCTTTTGAACTAATCATATCAAATTAACATACTAAATTTAAGCAAATTGAACACAGAAGTATTTGCAGTCCTGCAACAGTATAGTTAAGAAGCAAAAATGAAATGTTCTGATAGATATACGAAAATTATCTGAATACCATAGTATTAGAAGTATTTAGCTTAGAAATGAATATGGCCTCAATCAGACCTACCTGTTCACATACTTTCCAAAGGTTACATACTAATGTCTTAATCTTCCTTACTATCCTGAGAGTGCGGAAAATATGTGCAAACAAAAACATTGGAGGATTCAGTAGGCAAAAACGATGCAGTTATCAGCTTCGATCAAGAACAAATCATTCTTCAGTTTGAGTCATATATGTGCAAAAAACTAAAGATGAAACTTGGCTTTTACTCTTTTATAGTAATGAATGAAGATATCAACATCCTATGAACCACTCTGATCTTCAGCAGATCTCTTGTATTCTGGTTTCAGTTCATAGCTCCCTTGATTAGATCCCTTGTTGTTGTACACACAAAGGTCTTTCAGTAAATCTTTCATGAATTGCTGCACAGAAACAAGAGTAAACACATGAGCTGATATGTCATTGTCAGAAAAGATTCTTGTATGTCACGGTGTCACCTAATTATCAAGAAGTATAAAAATCCAAGTAATTTGACCATAAACGGTTGATTCTCACAAATTTTGTCTTCGAGGTCAAAAAATTTATCATGTACTATTTTTATTTTATATTTTAATATTTAAGATAGGAAAACTTGGGAGAAATTAACACGGTAAAACCCTGAAGTGCAAATCAAACAGACAACTGAAACAGTTGCAGTTCTGCTATCTGAAGATCCGTCTTATGAGTAATCTTAATTTTCTTTTAAATTAGACATATATAGGGCATATGATAGATGTCCTTATAACAGCTCCAAGGAGTCCCAATCCCCATTTAAATCTGTATACAATCCTTTTGATGAGTATAGACCTCAATAGACAACATAAATCCTTGACCTTGTAAACTTACATAAATACAAACTAGATGGCCTGAGGTCACAGCACTTCTCCCATCCAGAGTAATTCATTACAAGGGAAAAATTGGCCAAACTCATGAAAAGTGTAATATGTTGAAACCCAAATTAAATAAAGAAAAGACATTAAAGACTTAAAGTTACGGGACACAATCTATAAAAAGCATTAGACTTAAAATCATTGTTATATCAATGTTGAGAACCTAACAACACACAAAATAGATCAATGTCTATATAAACCATTTCTGGCAGTAAGAAAAGAAAGAAAGTGTATGTCCACATCTAGGTAGTTAAGCAAGAAACAAACCTCAGGTTGATCTGTCTTCTGGACCAGCTCTTTAAGAGTCCAGTTGGGTTGCTGTTCAAATAGTTTGAACATAATGTCTTCCATCTCTCCTCGATCCCTTCTAGTTCTCTTAGTTTCAGATCCTTTAACAACCACTTTCTTCTTCTCCTGTAACAGAAACAATCTTTTAAGATGAAATGACAAGCTAAACAAGCAATAGACAAAACAATACAGTATTACATGCACACATGTAACATTGACAAGGTAGAGTACAAGAAAGAACTTGTTCAACCTGAGTATGAGTGATCCCTGGCATAGGTATTATAGGCCTCTCATTGCCAATCACCTGATTTGTAACCAGCACATCAGCCGATGGAAGAGTAGATTAATAAGGAGCATAGGGAAAAAAAAAATCAGATCAATCAATAAAGAGGAAGTTACAAAGACCTGAATCTGTCTAGTCTTTGTCATGGATCTGTCCGTTCGTTCACGACATAGTTTACCGTAGCTCTCAATTGCATCATAGTGAGGCCTCATGTCAAATTTGTTATGAATTTTCCCTTCAACAGTTATCTTCCCTGTAAGTAGTGGAGGGCAGTCATAACAGGTACATTATAATGGCTGTTGAGCTGTTCTTACCATCCTAAATACAAATTCTACATCACAAGACATGCACACAAAAACAACAGAGTAAAATAAACCAATTTTTTTGGCAATGATTTACAAGCTAAAATTTCTGCCAAGACATAAAGCAAATCAGGCTATAAAGTATTAATATCTGTGGGAAGGAACCATCAACCATGGCATATTTTAGTTTCATTCAAAGGAGATTATTAAGTCTAAATTTCCAGCTTAGATATCTTCAGATAATTTTTAGACGGTCAACCGGCCATTTAGCAGGATTACAAAATAGAAAATTGTAACATAACATAAATCTTAAAGTAATCTACGAAATTATTTAGTTTCTATTTCCTTAGCTGCGGAATATTTTAATTTAAAAAACCCTTAAATAAAAGAACATTCCCACACATAAAATAACAGAGGCATACATACTCCATAGACATAAGTTTCTGATGATTGGCTACAATTAGCAGATATATTCTGAATTTTCCCAATTAATTTCCTCATAACAGAGAATTTATGCTGTTCAGACTTCAGAACATGACAAATTTGTAACCAAGCAAACAAAAGACATTGTACAGAGAGTAGACAGCACATAAATTAATGCCAAAATATGTATTTTTCAAATCAGGAAAAAGCTGGCTTATAGTAGCACCAATATGCTCAAGAAAAGACAGATTAGCCTATGTACTCACCTTCGTTCTCTGAAAAGACAGACATTGGAACAATTTCCTTAGACATGTCCATAGAGAAACACTTAGGCACATTTCCCAAATCAGAGCCAGACAATTCCATGGTGAACTGATCATAATATAAACAATGTATCAAATTTTAGAATTGTGACAGCAAAGGAGACGAACAAATATGAAATCCCATAAATTCTCCAGACTTGCTTAAGTGAATATACAAATGAATATTATCCAATTAAAGTTCTCATTTGGTCATTCACTCATTAAAACTTCCTCCGTCTCTAAACAATAGACCACTTTTTACTTTAGTAAGTTTAAGTTTTACTTTCCATCAATACCATACTCAAATCAAGAATCCTGAAAAGTTGATAGTGAAAGAAAGTTACAGAATTTAAATTCGATTTGTCAGACCTTCAATCATAAGTGACATACTAGTTGGGATGGAGACTGTGGAGATAAATAAAGTGAGTAAGAATACTTTGAATTTGATTATACAACAAGGTATACAGACAACCAAAAAAAAAAAAAGAACCATAATCATGCATCCGTGGAAGAACGAGTATCCAAAGTAACTCAATGTGCAATGGAGGACAAAATCTAAAAAGCCCTGTTTTGAGTTGTCAGTAAAATTCTTAAATATATCTCAGACTAATAACATTGTCTAACAATACCAGGTGCTGTTATCAAATAGACTAATAAAACTGAACTCCTTAGCCCAAATACTTGAGATAAAAAAGCCCAAAATAAAATAGAACAGGTATCAACTAGACTAATGATAAATTTTGATTCCTAAAACAGGTCCCACAGTGTCTACACTCTTTAGAATAAAGAAAAAGTGTTAAAACTTGCCCATAAGCTGATTAAACATAATGTCAACAATTTCCTAGGGGTGTACTGTCATGCAAAAACATTAGACTAATGAAAAATTGTAGATTCCTTTGGCAGTATCTAAATATTATAAAGTGTATAAAATCAACAATCATCAATAAATAATGTAATGTAATCAATACTTTCTAAAAGATATTCATCCAATCAGCTCAAGCAAAGAATCATATTATCTGATACATTACACAGTAGATCCCACTGCAAGAAACTATACAAAAAAGGGGAGATCATAATCATAAGTATAAACACGGTGCGCTTGAGGTTCCATGGCACAGATGATCTGGAACAAAATACATGTTCCTACGTTCATCTCAGAATCTAAGTATCCTAATGTTTCCATCTCATTCCATTTGTTTGCAAGTCCATAGACCGGAAAACTTAATAGTTAGTTACATACTCGTAGTATCAGCACACATTTTGGTGCTGTTATATCATCAAATCCTCCCATGACACCGACCATAGCAAACCATGTGAGTGACTAACTTGAATAATTTATTGGGACCATATACAATCCCAAATTACATACTCCAAGCACATAATTTTATAATATAAGGTCCCAACAAAAAGAAAAGGCACAAGGACAACCAATATGTCCTCCATCAAACAAAGCAATATAATTCATCTCCTCTCCACAAAAAAGCACACAATCAACCAGAAAAATAAAATGTCATATGGGTTTAGAGAGGTCCAAATGTACGCAACTACTCGTTCTTGATAACGATCATTCCCTCTATATTCTTGCAAGTACAATAAATGTAATTCAATTGTACAAGAATTACAACAAGGGTTACGAATATATTGTCCTTCTGATACATAGCATACACTGTCTTACACTACCAATGCAACATTATATCATAATAGTTCATTTCATAACACTAATTACAATACTAATGCAACTTCACCTAATTACAATCACATTTCAAAATAAGTGTGAAAATTGCTTTATAATATACATAAACATCATCAATTCATCATTTTCCTAATTTTTCTTCCTCAAACCCCAGAAAAAAGCCACTCTTGAAAAATTCATCCAAATATAAAACCCACATTATAATTGAAATAATTCATAAAACAAAAAAGAACCCAGAAAAGTACAAAGAAAAATAAACCCACCCATCACCCTTCGTCCAGAAATTAGTGCACATCAAAACCCTAGAATCAAATTTCAAATTAAATCAAACAATTCTCAAAATGCAAGAAATTACAAAATCAAAAAACAGAAGGAACCCTAAGAAATGGCGGCAATGCAGGAGGAGAGAGAAACGAAACCTGACGAATAGAGGGGTCTTCAGGGTCAGAGCAAAGAGGATCAATGGAAACGATAACTTTAGCAACAGGTAAATCGTTGGGAACAGAGGAAGATTGAAGAGCGCGCGAAACAACAGAAGGGCATTTCATCAACCACACTGCTTTATCTGCCTTGCTAGTGTCAACGTACCCACTATTACCACTACCACCTTCCTCCATTGTTGCAGATTTCTGAAGAGAGAGAAAATGAGAGAGAGTGGCAATGGCGGATTGATGGGTGTTGTTAGAGAGAGTGTTGATGTAAAGAAAGGGTGAGATTGTTAGTTTATTTATAGTGGTGATGGAAATTTTTCATGGTATGGTGGATTGGATTTGTCTGTTATATTTATCTTTTTTATGACATTTGTGGGTCCTTTAGGATTTCTGGGCCCACTTGTCATTGTCCAACATGTAAAAGCTTTTTGCTTAGGTGGCGAATCGGTCTTAAAAAAAATTGCGGATAAGAGGTGAAGGTGATTTGTATGTAATTGTAAGCTCAAGAGTTGAGAAAGATCACTTGAAGTTGAAATTAAAACTAGAGGATGAAGTAAATTGAATGATCCATATCGAGAAATGATAGAGTACTTTGTGAGATTTAGCATAATGTCTGCTAAGTGCTAACATTATTAACAAATACGGAATACTTTTCTTTAAACAATATACAGTACAATTATATATTAGTTATATTAAAACTGTCAGCTTAGAGAGAAAACAATAAAGTGGAGCTATTTAGACAAGATATATTTCCCCTCTGCTTCTCTTTCTCTTAGCTCTACCCTTCGTCTCCTCTCTAGCTTCATCCTTTAGTCTCTTAGCTCGTTTAATAATGGTGGGAAATCCTTGGTTTGATCCACTATTGTTGCTTTGGGTTTCGTCTTCCTTACGTCATTAGTCTACTTCTTGATGAGGAACTCTTGAACTCCTAACAATGGCATAATTTTCCATTCAATTTTATTGCACTTGAAAAAACAAATGTCATAACACATTTTGTATTTCATTATACTTAGATAGTATCACCATTATACTAACAACCTTATTAAGTGATACCAACGAACATAAAAATGTTTTGTTGGTATCGATATGATTTGTTGTTGGTATTATGTGAAATACCAATGTGTGCTATTAAATGACTAACAATTAGAGTCCAAGAATTCCTCCTTGATATCAATCCATGACTTAGTACTCACTTCGTTTTCAAATAATCACCATGTATAATATTTTAGTCAATTCCCAGATAACTGTCTTACTTTTAATAGAAGAAAAAAAAAAACCCATCTTACCCAACTCATACACATTGTGGGGCCCACTACTAATTATCCTACTCACAACCTCTTTCTTCCTATTTTATATTCTCATGGGGAATTTCTCGGCCTCAAAGAACTATAGTCTTGGATTCAAGTAAGGGTGTAAATGTAATTCTTCCAATTAATAGAAGAGCAAGAGAATAATGGTGGACCCCCTCCTGATTATTATTAGTTGAATTAGAAAAAAAGGTAAATAAAAAGGCAAAGTTCAAAAGTTAAAAAAGGGGTTGAAATAGGAGAGAGAAAACGAAAAGGAATGAGAAAGAGTAGTGAGTTCAAATAGGAGAGAGAATTGGTGGAAATTCAATGGAAAATCAAATTCTTTTGCAGTGTTTTATTCAGTGGAAAGAAGAATAAAATTTGGAAATGATAATGCAATGAATTGTTGGAAAGAAAAATGAATCTCTCCCGCTATGAATGAATTTGTCAGAAAAAACAACCAAAGATAGACAAAAAATGACAAGGGAGCGCACAAATCTGTCCTCAATTTTAACACATTGATTTTTTTTTTTTAAATTTGCTTTTTAATTATGAAGTGTTGTACAAAGCAGGGCCCCACTGATGAGTGTCATTTATGGCACTCATATGGTAGCATTTTAGGACGTTTTCCTTATATTTTATGGCCTTGTTTGGTGAAAAGCTGAAAGTTGAAAGCTGAAGCTGATTGTATTAGCTGATTTTGACTAGCTGATTGTATTAACTGATTGTATTAGTTGATTATATAAAAGTGTTTGGTAAACTACTATTAGCTTATAGGTATTTACCTTTGTAAAATGACCAATAAGCCCATTGACATATATGTATATAAAATTGAAGAAATTATTAATCCCACTAAAAGTATTTAATTTATCAAGAGAATCTCTTTATTTCTATATTAGTGTATTATTGTAATTCACTACTACAACTAGTTTTTTTTTTTTTTTTTTTTTTTTTTTTTTTTTTTTTTTTAAGAATTACAAATTCATGTTGATAGTGTTTTTATTTATTTATTTATTCAATTTAAGATTTTGGATAGACATTTTAAAAAGTTATCAATTTACCAACTCTTAAGTTTATCAATAATTGAGGAGAAAAAATAAACCACAATACCCAACCCATTACTTTTCTCATACGTAATGAATAACCCCTTCTAATGTTATTCATTTTCCCCGTAATGAATAACCCCTTCTTCTGTTCTTCATTTTCCTCAAACCAATTTCACCATTTTTATCTCCTTTTTTTTGTTGTGAAAAAAAAAAATAAAAAAATCAATCATGCTAATGCTCCATCATCCTATCTCTTTATCAAAAACAATTGAAAGGAAATTAAAACTATTGACATCTATTTTCAGATCTGACTACTCCCAACAAGTGTCGGGGCTAAACTTGCAAAAAAAATTTGAACCCATTAGAAAATTTGTTGGCCCTAAGGCTTGAAACTGGGTCTCGTACACAGAGCATAAGTGTTCTAACCAATACTCCAACTATAATCTTCTGATATTATATCCAACTTAATTACATATATCTGAATTTGGGGGCCCCTCAAATTTGGGGGCCCAGTTCCGTCGATCACCTCGCTCCGGCCCAGAACTGCCCCTGCTCCCAACTATGAAGGTAAAATTTAGTTATCCTTCAACTTCAATATTATTCTCAATTCTGGATCAAGAATTAAAACATGCATACCTCTATTTAAAGTTAGACTTGGTGAAAGATGGAGAAATTCTTCTACATGTAGAATTGTAGATTAAAGGGGTTTTTTATTTTTATTTTTTTTTATTTTTTTTTACCGTAAATAATGGTTAATTGTTATTTTTACCCTTTTTTTTTAATTAATAGGTTTTTGATTAATTGAATTTTATTAATTGATTTCAAGAACCATGATTTATTGCATTCATTTTTTGGCATTTGTGTAATTATGCAAAGAATCATATAAGCTATTTTGTAAACGCTGGGGTAAGGAGCGTTTCCGAATTAAGCTGATCCATGCCAATCAGTTAATGTGACCCGCTGTTTACCAAACACCTCAATTAGATGATTGGTTTGGTCAAATCCTCCAAATGTGCTGAATAAGCTTTTTTTGGCTCAATAAGCTAATAACCAAACGCATGCGCTATAGCTTTTCTCTTTAAATAATGCTTTAGTTTCGTTCTTTTATGATTTAGTTTCCTCATTCCCCTTATTTTGCGATTTCTTGCATTTTAAGGGTATTTTTGTCTTTTCCATTTTACTTGCCCTACTTTATTTCATCAAAGGACTTGCTTGGGCCTCGGGATTCATTTTGGAAGGCTCTCCAAGTTTTTTGGATGCTTGGGACAAGGTTTCACACTATTCGGTTGGCAAGTGTGCAAGATAAGAGGCAAGTTCCCACTATTGGCTTTAGCGCTCTCGAGCATCACAATCATCGCATGTCTTGGCCATGAACACGCAAAAATAGATTTTAAAGGCTGCCTTCCTCGTGGGTATCACATGAGAGTGTCGATTATAGGGATGCATGAGAGCGCTAGGACCAAAGCTTCACGCAAAGGGGCAATGAGCTAGCAACAAGGGGAGTCGCGCGCCGAGCATACAACAAGGGTGTGCGCGCGCATACCCCCCTGTGCGTGCGCACGGGGCTGCTGTGCGTGCGCACCACGACCTCCCCCCACCCCCTTACTTTTCTCTTGCTTTAAATGCCTTTGATTTTTCCTTTTTAGGGGATGACGTTTTTCTAGTACTTGATATATTTTTCCAGATTTAGTAGAGAGAGAAACACTTGAATACTTGATTAAGCCTAGATTTCTTCCTTAATCAATGATAATTAGTGAGATTTTCTTCCCTTGATTTTATCTTTTGCTTGATTCTACCTTTAATTCTTGTATGATTGATTTGATTGTTGATCTTTGGTTTGAAAGTTTGTTTGATTTGATTTTCTTCTTGATCTGATTAATCTTGAAATGATGATGTTTGTGATTCAATTTGTTTTTTTTTCAATCTTATTATGTCTAGTGAGTAGATTAGTAGCTAGGGAGAAGGGGAAGCATGCTTGATTGATGATCATTGCTAGTTGATGATTCTTGATTGATTGAATCGTTGCAATTAAATTGGTTAATATAGTGTGCATGTGATTGATTTGAATAGGAGTGATCAACCTTGATGATTAATCTAGATTGCTTTGTAATTTCCAATGAAATGAACCCTTGATTTGGGAATTGCTTTAATTGATTGAATTTGATTGTGATTTTCCTTGTTAGTCATTCATAGTGAACTCTAGCTTGACTTATAGGAGAAAGCTCTTAAATCCTATTGATTGCAACTATTGTTTTCCTTTGCAACGCTTGAATAGATTGAGTTCTTCGTCGTTTGGCATGATCATTGAGCTTGCATGTGGAACCTTAATCCCTAGTGTTTACCATGTTGCTTTTCTTCATTGCTTAGTTGATTGAAATTTTAGTTACACCACGAATTACCTCTCATTCTTCGAAGTAGCTTAACTATAGGCTATAGAATTCTCCCCCTCATTCCTCGTGGTTCGACTCGGACTTGCCCTATATTAGGAGTAAGTTTGATTTTCTTTATTGTTTGATTGGAGGTGCTTTAGATTTCAATGGCCTAAATTTCCCCACATCACTCACCCCTTGAATCCTTAAGGACTAAAGTTCTTTGAGGCTGAGAATTTCTCCATATAACAACATTAAATTTTACATTAACTTTTACTCCCTTAATAAAACTTTTTATTTGTATTCTTTTTTCCACGATCTATCATAAAATACTTTATACCGATATTTACTTAAATATGCGTGCTCAAACCCTTATAACTTTTAAATAATTGAAAAAAATGTCGTAAAATGGACGTCTAACCCCTATTCAATGCAATTAAAATGTCATTGGCCAATTCATTAGGTCATTACTTGTAGGTAGACCTGGTAAACGGGTCGTACAGGTCGGGTCAATCAATATTCAGGTCGGGTAATGTATGTCGGGTACGCGGGTCAAGTTTGGGTCGGGTCAAATCGTGTATTAGGTCAACTTCGGGTCTAGTTAATTCGGGTCGGGTCAATTTCGAGTCGGGTATGGGTCGGTGACAGGGTATAGTCGTATCTCCTAATCAAAAATAAATACCTAAATCCTCTAACTAAAGTAGATAGGGAAGTAGGGTCGATCTCCACAGGGAAACAAGTCTTTTTACTCCTAATTAATTATTATAATCTAAATACCTAAGTAACCAATATTTATATTTGAGTATGAAACTAAACTACAAAGAATAGGAATAGGGAGAAAACAATATATAAAAGGATCTAGGGCATAGGTTCACCAATAAATAATACTCCAGGGTAAAACATAGTAATCAATCATTGACATTGCATAAATAACATGATTAAGAGGCTCTCGCAATTTATTAATCAACATAGATCTAACAAGCTCTCGCAATTTACTAGATCTAAGTTCTTATTGAAAATAGCCTTTAATATCAAATTAACATCTTCTCGATTCATCAATTTAATATTGCTATACTTTTACAAGCCGCAATTGTAAAACATTAAAACAATTCAATAGGAAATTATCATGCAATATCAATAATCAATAATAGTCAATCATCAATGCGTCAATTAACCAGATTGTAAAGGGCTTTCGCTATGTATTACAATCACAGAATTAATCTACCGGTATTAAATCTCATCTCTCAAATCTCAACTTAACCATTTATAAATTAATCTGCCTATTGAAACTAGACCTGAACATTAATTCTCATCTCTCGAATCTTGAATCAATATTGTCAAACTCATGCATAAAAGATAGGCCTAATCTAGTCACAGAGCATTAAATCAATCAATAGGAAATTAATCTAACATTGATAATTAACAACAATAAATTACCCCTTCATATTATTTATTAGATCCCCATAAACCCTAGAAATTAAACTACTCACACATATTAAAAACTAAACAAATCAAAGCAATAAAATAAGACATGATTAAAGGAATAGAATAAATAACTAAGATTAAGAGAAGAGGAATCGTTACCAAAATAAATCTGGAATTAAAAGTAGAATTAAGAACAAAGGTTTAGAGAGAGAATTCTAAGAGAATAATTAAGAGAGTAAAGAAAGTAAAGAGGAGAAGAAGAAGAGGTACTAAAATCGTATTACGGAGGAGTATTTATACTCCGTACAAAATCCTAAATTAAAACAAATTAAAACTACGTTAAACATCTCCTAAGAAATACACGCGCCCGATCGGGCGAGGCACCGCCCAATCGGGCGCCTCGGGCGCCAGCCTTTTTGGCCAGGCGCCGACCTTTGCTTCTCCCGCCCTGCCGGGAGCGCCTCCGGGCGCCAACCTTTTTGGCCGGGCGCCGACCTTTGCTTTTCCCGCCCGGCCGGGCGCGCCTCCGGGCGCCAGCCTTTTTGGCCGGGCGGCTCTCTTGGGCCACTATTTGGACTACGATTGGGCTCCAATTCTTCGGGCTAATCTGGGTTTCCTCTTTGGGTCTTGAATACTCGGTCCAAATGCCTCGGTATCACCTATACCGTGCCCTTAATCACCGGTTCGATGGCTCTAACCGGCCCTGGGCTATAAAATCTGGTCGTGTTTCTCCAATGCTCGTGATTGCTCTAAAATATCTCTAGAAAATACTCCAAAAGCATAAATCCCTGCAAAAGTCAACCAAATCTACGAAAACACTAGAAAACCCCAATTAGTAATAAAAATGGCTCTAAAGAGCCAAAAACACTACTAATTATGACCAAGGGACGGGGGTAAAATACTATATAAAATAGACACATCAGTCGGGTCAGCTTTGTGTTCGGGTCAATTTCGAGTCTACGTTTTCGGGTCACGGATCGGATCATTCGAGTCGGGTCAGGAATGCCAGCTTTATTTGTAGGAGTAATGACAGTATGACACTATCCTTTTTAGTGACAAACATTATGCAAGAAGGCAAAAATCTACTAGTAAAACAGTTTTCTCTATTCCAAGAGGCCAAGATTGATTTTGGAGATAGTTATAATCATAGCTAACCAAGTTGCTAATCCACAGTCAAGATAGTGCAATAGAAATAAGGATTTTTTTTTTTAATCCAAAAAATATTTGACAACTTTTTGTCCATAACAACCTTATAATTTTCTTTTTCCCCATAACTACCTTCAAAAGATGTTTTCTTTGTTGACCACTACCTAAATTTTTTTTTTTTCACACATTGACCTTATTTTTCAGGTCACTTAAGTCATGTGCAAGGCACATGTTTTGTTCTTTTATGATTTTGTTTAATTTTTTCCCATTTTTATCCATTTTCTCTCTCTTCTTATTTTGCCCATATCATCTCTTTCACTTTCTTCTCTGTACTATCATACCCCAAAAATTCAGAGTGTAACGAACACCATGAAAGGACACTAGTGATCAATTGATGATGGGTTTGAAATTCAACGAAGTGCAAAAAACAATTTCACATATCTTACGATTCGTCCCCGTCAAACCCACTTTATAATTCCGTCCCCTCCACCGTGGTTGTGGTACGTTGTGAAGGCCTCTACCACTCGAACACTTTGTCCGTCGTCTTTACGAAATTCAAGTAACAATTCGAACCGAATTTTGTGAATTTTCGAAATTTTGGTAATTTTGTCAATTTTTGAAATTTTGTGAACCAAAGACTCGATCACTTCCTATTGACATTTAGGTTTTACAAAAGAAATAAAAAATTAAAAATTATTAAACATAAATCATTCAAGTGAACTAAATATTCTGCTAAAAGATAAACATCTAACAATTATCAATTGTAAATTTCAAAGAAAACCCACCAAATTTAAGATAGAGAAAATAATTAAAACCCACCAAATTAAAAGAAGAAAAAAAAAAAATCAGGAAACCCACTAAATTGAAGAGAGAGAAATACCATTTTGTTGAAAATGAGTTACAACAATTGGGGTTTTAGGGGACATTTATGTTTTCATGCGATTAACTTTAAAAAATAAATGCAAACAAAATTAATTGATGAAGTGTGGGTTTTTAGGGAGGATATGAGTTGAGATTTGAGAAATGGAGTATCTGATTTGTGGAAGAGAGAGAAAAGGGAAAAGATGAGAGAAAATTAAACAAAATCATAAAAAATAAAAAAAATGTGTTCTACACATGACTTTAAGTGACCTGAAAAATAAGGTAAATGTCTGGAAAAAAAAAATTAGGTAGGGGTCAAAAGAGAACATTTTTTTAAGGTAGTTATAGACAAAATAAAAAAATTTATAAGGTAGTTATGGACAAAAAGTTGTCAAATAAAGGCAGCAATTTTGGACAAAAAATCCTAGAAATAAAGTTTAAAATGCACGAGACACCAAGGTGCTATTTTCGCATTAATTGCTACTTCATCAATCTTCGCAAAGCATCGGAAATTTGGGGCATTACCATTATGCTATGGTGCATAATAATGGGGAGGTGATACTTGCAGCTGGCAATAAGTAGCCTTCAAAAGTCAGTGTCTGTCCCGTTGTATCTTGTATTCATGAATCCGTTTCAGGTTCTCGGGAAGAGGAGAAGGAAGACAGTGCTAGAGAAGATGCTTATGGAGGAAGAGTAGCTCACTTACGCTGAGATACAATGCACTTAAATAAATCCATCCTAAAAGAGCCTTACCAGCTGTTGTAGAGAGAAAAACTCGTAAAGCCACAGCTGAGCTAGAACTCATCAACAAAATTTAAGTTAAAAAAAAACTACTGCGGAACCAAATTTTCCAGGCAAACCAGTAGCACAAATCTGATAGTCTTCAAATATGAGGGAAAAGAATTATTGAGTTTCAAAGCCAGTAGGCAGTTAACAGGACGAGACAGTTGAAAATACAGATCCTATATTTTCATTTTCAAGTAACAAAAGAGATAAAGAGCTTGATTCAGATGAAGTTAAGTAAAAAGGAATTTACAACAAAAACTTGTGAACTGGATATCTCTATGGCGCAAAGTAAAAGTCTCGAGAAACAGGAGTCAGTACAACGTTCATTCTTGGACTTGAACAGATTCAGCTTGACTAGAGCCAATTGAACCCTGTTTTCTTTCAGCTTGTAGTGAGCGACATAGTGACTCAAGTTTTTCCTTTTGGTTCTTTGTCTTTTCCAATTGTTTCTTCATACGTTCCCGCTGCACAAAGGAAATAACTTCCATTAGTTATTACCAAAAGATGAAAACTTACAGTCTCAAATGAGTAAAAATCAGCATTATGAAGATCATCATCCAAGTTAGTGGGAATAGCAAATTGCAAAGAGCTGCATATAGATGTAGAATGGCACAGCATTCTACAGTACATCTCCAAGGAAAACGAAACGCAATCCAGGAAATTCCATACTGCAAATGATTTCATTAGCTATAACCAAAAGATGCAAAGGTTCCATAGCAGAATTTCTTAAGGCATTGTATACTGCGAAATATAATTCACAATGCAATTTCCAGAATTTGGGAAAGAGTGAAATTCAATCCATGCAATAAGTACAGAATAATTTCAAACATCGAAGTATCAAATTGTTTGACGTAACAGGGACATTGATTGATATTACATATAATTTTGCTAGGTTTTGCAGGGCTGCAGATTTTATCAAATAAAAGTGTGAAACACCCAGGCTAACCAATAAGAGATAAGTCTATAACTAACATGATGTCCAGGATAGATTGAAGGGGATCAAGAATTCAAGATACAAACATAAGCTTTATTTGGAGCCAATAAATCAATGTAAAATATCCTGCTCAGCTAACATGGTTCTTAAGAAGAGGGATTCTTCCTTTCTTATCAAGGAATGAATTTGTAGAAAATAATGCATTCTCACAAATTGCATTCGTTAGTTAATTGAAAATTAAATACTGAAGTAAAGAGACCATGACAATTAAATTTTACTAATTGGATCAGTAGTCACTCACTTTACACACTTTTTTCCAACTTTTATTCAATCGATTATAATTTATAATGTTATGCTCTATTTTCTTTCCAGACGGTTCCTTATAACGATTCATGTTAGCCGAGCCCAAATCATTTTGGGACTACGGCTTTGTTGTTGTTGGATCAGTAGTCATTAGAGGGAAAAAAAACTTATTATCAGGAGATGACAACACATTTAATTGGATCAGTACACAGTATTAAAGGGGGAAAAATACTTTTTGTTTTTTTATCAGGAGATGACAAACTGAAACAGAGGTCAAGATCCTCACAGACACCTTACAAAGATCCAACATCACCCCCCTTCATAACCAAATATCTATGGTTCTAATTGAATGCATGCAAGTTAAGAGATTTATGGACAAAGATACGGGGCAAAAGGGTTTACCTCTTCAACGAGTTCTATAAGAGTAAAATCTGATTTCTCACATTTGCTCTTCAAGAAGGTATTTTCCTTTTTCAGGTCTTTTGTCAATTTGGACATCTGATTTTAAACACAACAGAAAGCAGGAATCTGATGAGGAAGCCTCATAATCATTAAAAATAAATGTCAATGACGTTATAAGTTCAGACACAGGCCATGGTTTTCAAAATTATATGCAACAGTGAGATTATAGAATTACCTTTTCAATCTCTTGCTTAAATGTTTCAAAAACCTCATTGCTTTTCAGCAGTGCATCCTGCAAAGAAAGTCAACACTTCTCAACTACATAGATGTCAACAAAAAGGGTTTTTTTTTTTCCCCCATGACATGATAGAGAGTGATACTCACTTGAAACTGTTGAAATTTTTCTCCATCAGCTGTTAATTGTTGACGTAGACTTTTTTCAGTATCCAAAAGCTGTGATATTTTCTCGGCATATACCTTTATTTGAGCCTGTTCATGTGCCACTTTTTCCTCATTTTGCTCAACTTTCAGTTCAGCAATCTTAAGCTCTAGTGATTTCTGCTTCAGCTGCACAGCAATATTACCAAATGCCACAGGATCAAAGCGAGTTCCAATTAATTTAAAGTTAAGATTTCCACATGATTTGTATACAGATCATTAACCATAAAATTTGCATATACGGTACCTCCTGGGCATATTGTTGTTGACACTGAGTATAATGATCAGCAAGCTGCTTCAATTTGTCTCTTAGCCTAAATACCAAGGGCACAAGCAAAGATGCAAAGGACAGAGTCATGATTTCAAATACTAATACAACAGAAAATAATTGATTCTAACATATATCTATGTTCTAATACACTACCAACATAAAATAGGTCTAAGAAACATGTAAACTCCATTTGTCCAGAGCAACATATTCTTAATGAACAGAAGCTTCACCACCCCAAAAAGAAAAAGAGGGCAAAAGCAGTAAGAATTTTTTAAAAGATAAACTAAAAAGTGTAGCCATATTTGATCACCAGAATAAAATCCCAGTTTAAAAAGTTTGAATAGGTAAAAAGGAAATTAAGATGCATGGATACAAGAGTCTGACATGCAGTTTTGCAACTAATTCTAAGTCGCAAAATGGGCATAAGGATAAAGAACATTTACTTTTAGATAAGCTATGTTACAATGACACTTATCTGACTCTTACAAAGGAATAGAATTCTCACCCAACACTTCAGCAATAAACCAAACTCTTCAATTATTTAGGAACACATATTTGTAGAAAAATTGTAAGAAGAGGGGGAAAGATTAGAGAGGGATTTTGTCAAAATTTTATTACATGAAGTTGGAGATGTGTCACTTTTAAGATGAGGAAATCTGAAGTTGTGGACATCTTAAATTGAATTAGTTGATATAACATTTTACAATGAAAGAGGCAAGGAGATCAAAGGGAAAAAGGAAGTGGGTAGAAAATCAATGCTTAGATATTGTTGTCATTGGGGAATGAAGTAGGACTTAGGAAGTAGGTAATCAAGGTGAAAAGAGAGACCAAAAGGCTAATTTTACAATATTTTCAAGAAGGGACACTAATCAATTTCATTTCTGCATTATTTACATCAATTATCTGCATTGAAATATACTTGTTGATTGACTATAGGATCACATGGTTTTTCAAAACTTACATTTCATTCTCTTTCAGCTGAGAAATGCATTCTCCTTTCTGCTCTTCTAGCCTTACACTCACATCCTGCAACAAGCACATTAAACATCAGATATGATCAGATGGAAGAATAAAAAGCATCATGTTGCACACTTGCACCTCATAGAAGGAAGGCAACAAGTACATTCCTCCACTAGAAAATTTTAATTGTTGAATAACTCTAAATGATAACCATTAGAGCCAAGACTTAATTTAAAAAAAAAAAAAAAAAGCGACATTTATTTTACCATCACAGTAAGTAATAAAACGTTCAATAAATCAATAGCCTGTGGATATACCGATATAATCCAGCTTAGGTGATAGAATACAAAAGAAAAACGCACATGCGCTACAAGAAATATACTCCTTATCTTTATAAGCATATGAAAAATGCATGATGATTGATGAGTATCATAGCAGGTGATTTTAAGTCTTTTGGAATGAAAATTGATAAGCATCTGGCAGCATGTTAAGGATCTATATCTGCTTCCTATAGGAAAGAAGGGTACATACAGTATTTTGTAAGCATCTCTAATTTTAAAATAAATGTAAATATATAGAAAGTAACGAGTCCTTTTGGAACTAGTGGAAAATAACTATGGGCTGATCATGCTGAATCTATAGTAATATATAAAGTGAAAGGGGATTTTGGGTGATAAATTTTATTTTCCCAAATTACCCCACTCACCATTTTATTTGTTTTTTTCTTTACAAAAAAGTAGTGTCATTTTTTTGAAAAAATAATAATAATAATAATAATAATAATAATAATAATAATAATAATAATAATAATAAAAAATAAAAACTACTATTCTATTTTTTTTTTTTTTTTTTTTTTTTTTTTTTTTTTGGGGAAGTACTATTATTTTTAAACCCACTAATTTTTATTTTTTTTTATTAGAATAAGGTAGATAACTTCTCAAAAAAAAAGGGGGAGAATTGAGCCATATAGATTTCTTATATTGCACACGCACATCTCTTAGCTTGTATTAATAAAACCCAAGTCCAGAGGTACCTACAACTTAACCTATAAAGCAGCACACAGCTGGGATAGCTACTATTAAAGATCCCAACATTCTTCCAACCACATAATCAGAGATAACCAAACCATTATGCAAGAGCATATGTCTCCCAATCTTCCAAGTACAATAGCATAAGACATATCATAGGATATACACTTAATAATTATCTAGGTTTGGAAGTGGTTATACGTATATGGTATTGAGCCTGTCCAAACAGATTGTACACAGAAAAGCTTTCTTTTCTATATTTTTTAATTAATTTTAACACAAGACTTTGGGTTCCCAAAGGAGATTGCGTTTTATCAATTTGCATATTGTATCTCTAGGAGTACAGGAGAAGACACCATTAAAAGCTCCAATCTAGAGTCTCCAATAAATTAACACCCCCCACAAATCGAGAGCTCAACCAAATCCTTTTTTCCAGATCCTCCCTCAGAGTAAAATGTCATGACGATTTGCTTCAGGCAAAACAAAAAAATTACATGATGAAATTACACTCTCTCTGACCAAATAAATTGCAATACTTGGTGATTTTTGAAGTTGACAAAGACAAAGGTTGCTCTCCTAGTTAAGGGTGCTTTCAGGTTCTTAAACCATAACATTCATAAGTACCATAGTACCAATATTACCAAGGGATAAAAAGCAAGGATATGTCAGAAGTTAATTTCAAAAGAGTATGATAGTATAGGACAGATGGGCATGTAGGGGCATACCGCCCATACTTCTGAAGACCACAGCTCCATTAAATGAGCACTGGACTCGCCTAAATAACACAGACCACGTTTTAAGTTGTTTGAGTCTGCAAGCAGCATAAAGCCAAGCCAATAAAAAATACATTGGCCAAAGCTGGTGTTTTCCCTTTCTATCTATGCTCTGTGGCATGCCCCTTGATATTGGTCAGCATGGTTTGTATCTACCAAGGTCTTGTAAGGCAACCTCATTCAGCACCTTCAGGGGAATAGCCATACTCTACAGGAGCTCTCACTTTGGTTGTATCAGCTATTCAGCCATGAGTCCAGTATATGAGGTGAAATGATCTAGATTACTTTTTTTCCCACCGGGGGGGGGGGGGGAAGAGTAGAGTAGACAAACCACATGATTTCCATAATTTAACATCATCAAGAACTTCAAACAAAACTTCCCTGTGAACTTGATTATGTCTTCCTCTAAAGCTTCTAAATTACTTACTACAGTACTAGCCACCCTGAGGATCAATTTAGTAAGTTTCAGAGATGGTCTATGTAAGATAGTTGATGTTTCTACTTGGGGTAGTGTTTTTCACCTAGGGCTGATCCATATGAGACTATACATGAGCCTAGTGCCTTAATAAGCAGCATGGGATCACTTTTCCCATGTTCCATCCAGGTGATAGATTTAACTAGGTTCTCCCACTCTTCTCTACATTACTCCCTCAAACCCTATATAATAGGCCACGTTTAAAAAGATACTATGTATAATGTATAAAGCCTTAGTACCATGATTATCCATTTATCCTTGACTATTCAAATTCAAATCCATCATGCTTAAAGTTATCCAAGAATTCTTACTTGATGATAACATTAAGGGTGCCTTCTATCTTGGTTTTAAAAAGCGCACCTCACTCCCAGGCTCTAGGAAATGGGCTTTAGTTAGGCGAGGCTCAGTCACCTACGGAAGGCGCGCGCTCGTGCCTCAAAGCGCCTTTGGTAAGGTGCGCCTTTGCGCCTCAAGGAAAATAACTAAGATATAAGTTATAAATTGAAGAATGATGGACACTTTTTCAAATTTACACTACCTTAGCTTTACATATATTATTATTTAATTTATTATGAATCTTTTTAATTGGTATTTAGTACAATCAAAGTAAAAAATAATTTGAAATAAATATGTAAAAACATGCGCCTTGCATACAAAAGGCATGCACCTTCGCCTTGCGCTTCGCGCCTAGGCTGCAAGGACCATTTGCGCCTTGGTGCGCCTTGCGCCTTTTAAAACTTAGCCTTCTATTCATTTATATGAACTTAAATGAATAACCTAAACTTATTTGAGCTTATTACAGTTTATATTAGTTGTAAATTAAACTTGGGTAGCCCTTATTAACCCTTTTTAAAACCTATTGAACTTGTTTTTCATGATAAAACTTGCTTTTTCTGGAAATAAGTGGAAATAAGATGAAAAAAATAGCCTAAAGGTAACAACAAAAATAATTCCTCGAGATTTTTCAAAGTGAAAATTATCGAATCCAAAAAATAATGTCCAATCCATCTCTAAGATCTCTTCTAATTCCATTTGGCACATTTCCAACGCAAATATTTAGCTTTTAACAGCTCTCTTGTCATATTTGATATTCTTAAAGTACCCATTGAGAAGAATCAATCAAGAAATGACATGGCATTGTTTGTTATATCTAATTTGGAAAAAATTTAGAAGAGTATATTTACTTATAAATAGTGTCTAGATTCCAATCATGAAGAACAAAAAGAGACGGGCATTAGAAAGTAATCAGCTATAAAGAATAATTGCCAAACCTTTATAGCATCCTCGAACTTGGTAGATAAATCTGATCTCAAATTCTGCCCTTCCTCTGATACTCTTTTAAATTCATCCTGCATATATACCATCAGTTCTTTAGATAATTATATTAAGTCTCATGTTAGAGCAATGTGTGCATACATATATCATATTTTTTCAGATCTTAACAGTTTATATCAATCCCACGAGTTAAGAAAGTTAGTGTGTATAGATTCAGATACACAGAAAGTTAACATATACTAATAAAAACATAACTTTGGTTTGAAATACATAGTTATTAACACCTTTTGACAGGAAGAGACGAAAAAATAAAATAAAAATTCAAATTTCATAAACACCAATTTCAGGGTACTTTTGGGATGCACATATTCATAAAGATTGATAGGGATACTTCTAAAAACTCAAGGAATAACATACCAATATATGCCATACATCCATAAAAAAAAAACAGTTTCTGTTGATTTAAATTGAATCAATAAAAACAGTCGTGGGTTCATGTAAGGTTTGTGTCAATGTATTTTGAAATAATTTTTACATATTGATAATTAGAAATGTTAATTATTGAATGTATGGATTAGCAAGCATGAATAAAACAAAGCACTTCACAAAGTGATTTTATAGCACACCATGGAACGTCTTCTTAGAGCAACAAGTTTAATAATTGGAAAATTTGTCAGAAGAAACCTTTTAAAGCAACTTCTTTGTCAAACAAACACGTTTTAATTTTTTTTTTGGCAAGTTAAAACCTTTATGTAAATTTCTTTCTTTTTTTTTTTTTTTTTTTTTTTTTTTTTTTTTTTTTTTGTAAGAAACAACCTAGCCCCACTTTCCACCCTTTTCCGGCCTATTGACCAACCTATTTACGACCTTAACTTGGAGTATGCCGGTCACATGACCTTATATTTTACTATTTCCACCCTTTTCCCTCTCTTTCCTCTCCCACTAATTCCAATCTGTCCAAAACTGGACCAAAACTGGAGCTGGTCCAATACTGATGCTTCCTCTTTCAGATGCTCAAAATCAAAATAGAATCGAAATCTTTCCCTTCCTCATTTTGATCCATCTTAGTTTACATAGATGATAGACATGCTCAGGTCCATGATCAATGTGCAGTTCAAATACTGAGCTTCTCCAAGTGCACAAAAGAAACTCCAAAGGTAGATTCATGCTCTTACAACGATCTCCAGCCCCAGCATAGTACAACAATTTCCCAATTCTTGAATGCTGCTTCTGATTCAACAATAGGAAGACTATCATTTACTATCTCCCCAACAACCAGCAAAGCACCAACTTCACCTTGTAGGTCCTCTTTCTTAAAGACAACTTGTTTCTTTTGCTTCCGCTACCTCGCATTAACTCTACTACTCACCAATACCAGTCACACTCAAAGGGCAATTCTCAGCCTTAGAGATTGATACTAGTATAAAAATTGGGGGAAGAAACTCTAATTTTTTCGAAATTCAATGAATTAAGCACAAATTACACAAGAACTTAGACATTTCCTTGGTCGAATGCAGTAGGGAAAGTCTTCAATCGCTAAAACTAACTACCTTAGGGCTGATTTCGATATTCAATTGCAAGTGAATGAGTGACCTGCACACCCCAAGTCAAAGTTGGAAAGTGGGGTAAGGCTGTCTCTTACTAAAAAAGTTTACATCAAGGCCTTTAGCTACCAAAAATATATTAAAATGTTTTTCTAACAAAAATTTGCTTTAAAAGGTTTTTTGACAAATTTACCTTAAAATTTTAATAGCCATTATATGATGGAACTGCCTAGATACGAGTCTATGAGCTTGATGTCATAAGCTAGGTTATTGAAACATAATGAGCCTTAATAAATGCTTCTGCTCAATTTCCTAAGAAAGTTGTTAAAAATGTAGTGCTAAATGGAAACAAAATGTAGCAAAAAAAAAAAAAAAAAAAAAAAAAAAAAAAAAAAAAAAATCTCAATTATACATTTCGCATATAACGTCATATATCATTTGCTTCAACACCATTCACATTTCACATCCACAAGATGTATATTGAGAGCCAACAGATGGAGGCAAGAAAGTTGTATACCATTAACATCTTATTTTGACGCTGTAACTCCCTACACAATGACTCAAGCTTGTCTCGAACAGCAATAGCTACAACAAGAAATTGGTAAATCAAAATTTGCATTTCAAGAAAAGATAAAGGACTAGATTTCATATCAAGTGATTTCAAACTCTAATAATAATTAAAAAAAAAAAAAAAGGGAGACTAAACAATAGGAAATCACAGCAATCCACTCAAAATATTGCTACTCATTTCAGTCTGTTGCAACTATTAACAAATGTTTCACTTAAGACAAATAAAAAATGTCCAACTCTTCCTATATGATATTCCGCTGCGCCTACATGACCTACTTATATTTCCTTCCTTCTTTTCCAAGATTGTATAGTCCAAAGTGTAGGGAAAGTTCGTAAGAGATTGGAAAGATAGGAGCCACAGCCTTAATTGAATAAGCAGAACACACAAACCTAGAAATCCCCCATATGGTATTCATATCCCATCAATAAACCATTTCCACGGAAAAAAATTGCAGTTGTGGACTTGCATAAGCAACCAAAGTGTGTCATGAAAGCAGCATCTTGCAGGTGTAACATCACATTTCTTAGCCATCATTGAGGGAATTGACAAATTGGTATTTCACTTCACCCTTACAATACAAGAATATGGGAATATAAATTTATAATATACCTAAAACTACACCTTTTGGCACCACATTTTGTTACCTGAAGAGATCTGAATTGCTAAACATTAGTTGATTGAGGTGGCTAGAATATATTTAAGATTTTCGATTATATGAAGTTTAACTATACACCAAACATATTGACTATGATAATGGAGTTTAACGGCTGATGCAGAAACATAAACAGTCCATATAGAATATTGTAGTATGATTCAAAACACAGGAAATGAAATGGCTTTTCAAAGAAAATCAAGTTGGAAATCCTATCAAAAATGGCTTTGGTGGAGCAGCCTTGAATTTATTCCCCATATTTACCTGCATCTCTCTCTGTAAGAACTTGTTTATACTTTAAAGTGAACTCCAAAAATTCCTGCTCAGTTTTGAAGGTACGATTTGAACTTTTACGCTTCCCTTCGAGTGTTTCCTGTAGCAACAACATTAATTAAAATCTACAAGCAATTGTTGAGAAATTACCAATGTGTACAACAGATAGAATTGCAGATGAAGACAAGCATAACACATTACATGTAAAATACTTTGCAATGTCTCAAAAAAGTGTCCTTCATCTAAGCTTTAAAATTATGATGAAGATTCATATGACATAGCCTCATACACACCACACAAAATAGAACCTTTGTTTGGCATGGAACAAAAGGCTTCTGTTTTCCATCAAAACTCACCACAACATCATACAAGGGGATGCTAAAGTCAAAAAGAATATATAAGAAAAACCTGCTCTTTTGTCTTACAGCAGCACACCAGCAATACCTGGTAGGAATCTTGGTATGGATTCTTAAGTTTCGAATGAAGGAATGTCACTTGAGATGGAATGATTGAATAAGTGTAGAGGTGAGTCTCCTATTGCTAATGCTAATTCACAAGATTAAGAGAAATGATATTATGGAAAAAGCTCTCGGCTGTTAAACAGAAAGTGAATGATACTGAATATAATGAATGTTGCAGATCTCCAGGGCTAAAAAGTTGGTTACACTTATCAACTAGAAAGCTAGGATTCCTTATCAAGTTATCAGTTGATGTGTTATGGCTTAGTGTTATCGTTGTTTGCTCATTTGCAGCAAATATGAACACTGAGGCTGTATATGTATTGGTTTAGCTTATGCCAGTGATGTGAGTCATCTTGTTGGCATTACTTCCTACAAGGTAGGTAACTAGGTTGTTTGGCACAAGTGTAGCTGACCAGAGATTAAAAGTGTGTTATTGATTATTCTTCATGTCATATCTCAAATTTGGCATTAGTTCAAAATTAACAATTTTTAAAAATTAAAGAGAGATCCTCAAACTTAACAAAATAGAGCATATCCTGGGTCTGATGCGTGAAATCTAAAATTAGATGGATAAGGAATTTATTCATAAACAAGTACCAACACCGTCAAAAAGAGAAATTTCTATGCACATGGATGCTGCCACTAAGCTAAACTACTCCTTTCAGGTAGAATATTACCCACATTTGCTTTACATCAAAAGAGAAGCAGCCAATGAAACGACAAAAAGGAGGTAAGAAGCAGTATCGATATGCAATACCACTACAGTCCTAATTTGTTTCCCATTTAAACCCAAGTCATTAGGCAAGAAATCAGTAAATAAGTTCACATCACAAGAGAACCTTACTAGTTCCAAATGTAGCCGCATAAACACATGAGCGTTTGTTAAGCACACTTGGATCGTGCTCTCTTAAACTAAGTCAAAGAAAAATTAGGACAAAGAATCAAAGGTGAGTAAAGATGATTGACAAGCTGCTTCTGTTCTCATAGCTGAGGGCAATAAGATTTGCATCCATGGTTCATATTGCATAAGGAATGCATGTCCCTATGTCACAAATTCAAAGCCCTTCCTATGCCATGCTAGTCCCATTAGGTTGAGGTAGATTATCAGCTAACCTATCCCTTTCGCAGGGAAAATTAGACAAAAGTATATGATAAGAGGTCCAACAAGGAGTGGCCTCACTTCTTGATGCTTCATAAATTTAATAATAAAAAGAGAGAGGGGGGGGGGGGCGCAGAAATGATCAGGATTTGCTTAAATAACACCAGTGAGTCTCTACTGTGCATCAGAAACTTCAAAATCAAAAGAGGGGGGGGGGGGCAGAAATGATCAGGATTTTCTTAAATAACACCATTACAACAAAGTGATGTACAATATTTATTAGCAAGTTCATGATAAGCTTAAATACACAATATTTACCTTTCGGTTTTTCAGATTCTCAGATGACTGTGCTTCTTTTGAATTATTGCGTACATCTGATCCCCCTAGATATGCTGAAGAACAACAACACTTGAACTTAAGGCAGATCTATAGAAAAAGAATTCAATATAAGCCCACTTTACAATAGAAAATGGCATGTGGTTCAGGAACTCACACTTCAAGCTAGCCAGTGTGTGAAGATGCAACAATCAATAAACAGGAAAATATTCATGGGGAAGAAGGTAGAACTGACTCCTACATATTTAGGTAATGAGCCTAAACACAACTCTCATGCTCCCTTGCATGACAACTCCTAAGATAATGTCAGTAGTCAGAAAGAAAACATACTACTCTCTCTCAATGCCAGCAGCTTTCCCCCCTTGAGTGAATTTAGGTAAAGTTACGAGTATAAACTTCTATTAAACTAAGCTTGATTGACTTAACCTTAAATTAATTATTATTTTATTTTAATCATATTATAGCACCAAGGTGAAAGCGAGACAGGGAGTGACACCAAAATACAAAAAGAGAGTAAGGTAAGGGGAAAAAAATCTTGGGCTCTTAAGCTTATCAACAAAATTGAGAAAAGTCAAGCAATGCTCACAAGCTAAAATCTTGACTCCAGCTAAACAAAGGCCTCACAAATTGGAACCTAGAACCTTAAAAGGAAAAGTGCACCAATCAAATCTCTAATCAAACCATTTCCAAACTTCATATGTTCTTATCTATTAATTTGAACAATATCTTAATTCCAGTAACGGTTTCCTTAATAGTTTGAATCCCTTTAAACCAGTTCACTTTGGCAAAAAGGAGCAACAACAACAATACAACAAAGCCTTAGTACCAAAATGATTTGGGGTAGACTAGATGAAGCGTAATAAGAAACCATTTGCAAAAAATGGAACAAAGAAAGGAAAGTGATAAAATGAAAGTAGATGAAAAACAAGAAAAAAAGGGAAAAAGGGGGAAAAAAATAAAAAAAAATGAGGGCAGTGTAGAGTGAAAACTCAAAAAAAAAGATAAGGGATGATTAAACAAAGGAAAAAAACAACTAAAAAGTATTTTAAAAAACCTTGACATAGGAAAATAAGTAAAGTTTGCAAAAACACAATGAGTTAAGGTAAAAGAAAAAGATAAAAGATAAACAAATAATTTAAGTCATGATGTGTCCTCAGCGCATATTTTGTCCCTCTAATTCACTCTATCCAATGCCATATTTTTCCTCAATCCCCAAACGGCTTATAACACACCCAATCACCCTCTAAGCTATCTGATGTCTTCCCCTACCCCTCACAATCCCATCATTTTGCCACTCTTCAAGATTTATAATCGGAGCCTCATTCAACTCCGTCTTATGTTAATTCCCTTGCTTTCTTCCTTATTATCGAATTCCTCCCTCATCTTAATCTCAATAGATGTAAACCCTACTTGCTTCCTAATTATCTGATTCCTCAACCGCTTTTTTCTTGTATGGTCACAAAACCAACGTAACAAACGCACCTCCGCCACATTCATCCTTTGAACGTGACAATGCCCCATGTCTTCGCATATATTTAAAAAAAAAAAATGATATTGGAAGACTTGTTAAGGATTTTACTAGTCAATCATCTCAAAGTTCAATAGGATTTATAGATATGGGGAAATCCCAATCAACTAGTTTCTCATTGGACCATGTTAATCTTACAATAGTAAATACTCCCTCCGTTCCTAAATGTTTTTTACGTTTCCATTTAGGGTGTTCCTTTTTATTCTTTACATTTAGTATCTTTCCTATTTTGGTCATAAATTTTGGACAAAATTACCCTTGTTTTACAATTTTTTTACTCAAAAGTCCTTACTTTTCCATGTGATATTGTACTATTTTAATAGTTTTTCAACACTTATTATTACTTTCTCTCTCCTCTCTCCTCTAATTTCTTCACCCCACATGCTCACCATTGTATTTTTCAATAAAATTGTACTTTCAATCATTGAAATACTCCAATATACCTCATCTTTACACAATTTCTTAATAACCGCGCATAATTCCAAACGTAAAAAAATTAGGGAACGGAGGGAGTAAAACATAAGGGCTGCTATCACAGAGACTATTACCCTAAATAGAGGCAGAAAGTTGCACAGACGTAGGAACCTTACTCATCCTATTAGTATTTGCACCATACATTCATCACAAAGGTTAAATTATTATTTATATCTTCCCCCAGAAGGAACAGCAAAAACCATTATGAAACAAGACTGCCACTTGCTCTGACAAAAGCTCAGAGTAAGTTCAATTAGATTTGCAACACAAAATTTGACAGAATAATTGTTAGGAAAATTTGTAAATTACCACCCAAAAAGGGGTCCTATTTTGAAATTACCACCCATTAAATTATAAAACATTTCAGATTACCACTTTTTTTGAATTTCCGGTTGTGGGTCCCACCTTTTTAACCTCTTTCCTCTTTTTTTTTTCTTCTTTTCTTCGACCTAACACTCTGACTACTCCATTAAACTCAAAATTCAGCTTCTCTCACCAATTTCCTCACTTAATTCTTCCAAAATCATCAATTTTTTTCCCTCTTTCTTCCTTTATTTCTCTGTCAAATTCTCAACCACCCCTTTAGGGTTGAATCAAAACCCTAACTTCACTTTTTTCCTGCAAATTGAATGCTTTGGTTGTACTTGCATGTATTGTTAAAGTCGCCTTCCTGCAAATTAATTGCAAACAGGTAACCTAATTGCAAAAAACCCCCAATTTAATTACCCTAGGAACCCTAATTCTTAAATTGGCGAAAATCCCTAATTTATGAAGTAAATGATTCTTACCTTAGATGCGAATTGAGAGTCTGGACTTCAGTAGATAACTTCTTCACACAGTACCAGTTCAAGTTTGGGGAAATTTGGATGAAATTTGGAGCAAAATTGTGAATTCAAGTTGGAGATCGAATTTATAAACAAGAGAAATCGGGGAGGAAAATAGTCAAAAGAGTCAAATCAGCCGTTAATAGCCGTTATGTGGGACTCTAAACCGAATACTCCACCGGAAATTCAAAAAAGGTGGTAATCTGAAATGTTTTTTAATTTAATGGGTAGTTATTTAAAATAAATTTTTTAATGGGTGGTAATTTCAAAACAAGACCCTTTTTGGGTGGTAATTTACAAATTTTCCTAATTGTTAAGCCTATAGCACTTATAAAACATCAGCACATAAAAAAAAACTATCAGGTTTCATGACTGTCAACATGTGAGCACAGAAACAAAAGGGGGAAGTTATAAGTGTACACTACAGCCATTGATATAAACATCTTACCATGATTAACTTGTTAACCTTAAGATTTCATTTTCATAAATGGTTAGGCAATATCTTATGATTCACAATATACATGATTTTAAGTGTAGGAAAACATGCAATAATTCCATTTGGTCTGTATATTAGATCATCTACAAAGCCCCATGAAACTAATAGCATCACTAAGAAACTGAGAAAGAACTTCAGGAAGCATAGATAATTACATTTATCAGCGCTTTGGACTTCGGATTGACCTTTATCTTTCTCAGTACTGCCCATTCTTAAATCAGATCCTCCTGAAGCAGAGGTAGATGATTCAGCTTTGATTGCCAAAGTATCTTCTCTCTGCTCAAAGCAGCCATCATCAGAAACATTGGCAGATTCTCCAGAAGCTTCATAACCATCCTTCTCAGACAATGGAACTGGAAATGTGCGAACTTTGGTCACCTTTTCCCCTTTTCCTTCAACTGAAACAAACCCATTTAGTGATGCATCATAGCTAAAATCACTTGAACTATCCGGTTCCGCTGAATTATTCTCTTTGTAGTCGCATAATGATTTCTCCTTTTCATTCAATGGTGTCACAGGAGCTATGGAGTCTGGAGCACTCTCAACAAAACCATCAGGCAAAGAATCCACTTCCGGAAGCTGGTTTGCAGCTGAATTGTCCATTTCGCCTGTAGTAACCAAAAAGCATTAAAAATTGTTCCACTCAACGAATTATATCTACACAGCCCAATTACCCCAATTTTCTCAGCCAACTAATATAGATTTCTCAAACAAAGGCAATTCAAGAAAAGCAAGGGTCTTAGGCTAATTTTTGTTAAGGCAATGCACTATTGATATTCCGGAAAGAATTTCATCAATCAAATCAACCAACATTCTATAAGAAAGCTCTTCAATAAGTTTGCATTTAACCAATATACGCTAAAAACACATATTCAAAATATCAACGAATCAAAATCACAACTAGTCCCGCCCCAGCGCCAGGGCACGAGGGGCGGCCGCATTGAGCCGAAAAGAGGTCCATTTTCATAGTTCCATCCAATAATAAAGGGTTATAAACAACAGCCTCCAACAAATTAGCAACCAAATGGACTCAATAATCAAATTAGGCTCCAAAAATCACATAAAACTCTTCTCGCTTAAGAATATCAACGTAAGTAGCACATAGCGAATTTCTAGCAACAAAATCAATCGATATAATATTTCATAAATTGAATAACAATAGCCAAAAGTTCAAATTTTCACCAAGAACCCTAAAATGAGTATGTTGAGAATTAAATTAGCAATAAACCCTAGATTGTGATATTGGTATTTAAAGATTCAAAAAAGTAAATAATCCAGGTTACCTAAGAAGTTGCTTCAATGGAGGAGAGAAAGCTCAAAACCCGCTTCAATGGAGGTTTCAGAGTACGCGCTTCAATGGAAAATACAGAGGGGAAGAAGGGGTGCTGCATAAAAAAAATTTAAAACGTAGGAGGAAGATTAATTGACACGCATAGAGTAATGTTAACCGTCAGATCTAAAGGGTCCGTTTGTTTCATCTTATTTTAAAACTGTACCCGTGCTAAAGCACGAGATCAAAATGGATGTCATCAAAAACTCAAAATGGAATAAATTGGTACTGTAAATCTTGAAGGGAGGAGTGAATATCTGATTTTAGAGGAATAAGCAGAGTTAGAGCACTTTTCATTTAAATTTCTTTAAAAAAAAAAACACATTAAAAAGGATGAAATGCTTAAGAACATTTCATATCCTAATTTCAGTTTAATTTAGTTTTGTTCAGTTCATTTCATATCCTAATCTTCTACTTTCATAATCAGTTCAGTTCATTTCAACTCTAATCAATTCAGTTCATTTGTTTTCAGTAAATTGGAAAAGGCCCTTAGTCTACTTTTTGTCTATGCACACATTATTGAGATTCACACTAGACCTAACAATCCTAACCTATACTTGATTACTTGACCCAGATTACCTGATGACTCGAGACCCAATCTTGTCCCGAAATTTAAAATTTACGAGACCCAATCTAAAGTGGAGTTTAATTGTTTCTGACCTAATTACAACAATTATAATACGAGTAACAATGTTATTGTAATAGTGATGACAATTAGGGGTGCTAATTAATTGAGCAACTCGGATTGACTCGATTAGAACTTGACTCGAACTCAACTCGTAACTTGTACAAGCACGAGTTGAGCAAGCTATATTTCAACTCGATAATATTAAAATAAATAAATCATAGTAAAAAAAATTAATTAAGGAAAATTTTTGACCTTTGTTACCATTAAAATACACTACTTTGACTTTTGCTACTCATCTAAATTTTTATTTTATTTTGCTACCTAAAAGCAAAAAACATAGGTTTTGCTACCATTTCACATAATTAGCTACTATTTCCGTTCGTAGGGCTCAACCAGCCCTCCCTTCTCAACCACCCACACTGTTAGTCCTTCCCCTCCCCATGCTGGCGCCCAAATGATCCTCCGGCGCCGGTGACCCCACCCCTCTCCCGTTTCCCACTCTAGACCGCCCCATCAAAACCATCGAAACTGAAGCTTTGGAGAAGGAGAAACTCAATTTGGAGTGAGAAAATTCAAAATCAAAGCCTATAATCGGTGAATTACAAACTGAGATCGCGTCACTGAAAGCTGAAAACCTCGAGTTGGAATATTGTAGGGCGGCGAAATCAAAACCGAAGAAATCCAAATCAGATTCGAAACTGAAGATGAAGAAAAAGAAGATCCAATTGGTTAAGAATGAAGAACAAAGGAAGAAGAGAGAGGAGAAAGAAAATGAAAGAAAGTAACAAGGGTGTCGAAACTTAAAGTTGAAGTTGTGGATTTCAGGGATGGGGGGAGGAATTCTAGGGGGTTTAGTGGTAGCTGAGAATCAAGAAGGGGGTGGGGTCTCCGACGTCGAGGATTATTACCAACCAACACGGGAAAGGGGAGAGGTAGCTGACAAGGAAGGGGATAGTGGTTGAGATTTTTTAATTTTTTTTTTGAAGTGTTTATCTCTTATTATTATTTAATGAAATAATAAATCCCACCTAACGGAACCCTAATGGATTTTAGGCAGCACAAGTCAAAACATAATATTTTGGAGGTAGCAAAACTCAAATTTTTTATTTCCTTAATTAGGTACTTCTTTAGAGAAATTTTGTACTTATGCTCATGATTTACCTCATTTTAAGTTTAAAAGGGAATTAATTAAATAATGATGAAGTACTACTGTACAAAGTAGGCACGATTAATTCAGATTGAACAAATGAAACAATGTAATGGGAAAAGTAGAGCAAAAGGAAGTGGGTGAGAGATGATCTCAAGAAAGAACTAAGTAGTCTTGTTGAGCAAAGAGATTTCGATTCAATTAAATTGGCGGAACGGAATTCAAATTTCAGATGTATGCTCTATTTGGCACTAACAGGATAAATGTATTTACACATTATCAAAACATTATAGAACTAGGTCCTGTAAGATATATTTACACATTCTTTGCCATATTTTTGCGAAGAAATCTCCACCAGTCATCCTCTATCATGGTCAGCTTCCCAAAATAAGAAGCTTGCAAAAAAACCAGACTAACCCATGGCCTCTGCAGCACCACCACTAAATCAGCTGTCACCCTTAACTACCTGTTTTGGCTAATCTACACCGGGGGGGGGGGGGGGGGGGGGGAACCTAATTCTAGCATTCACTTATAAAACCACATTCTGTTGCAGCATTAATCCATCTATTCTCAATCAGAAATATGAATAGCAAATTTCATCAGGCTACACCAGTAGACCTTGGAACATAATTCACTGGACCGTTGGACTGTAGCTCCTGCGGGAAAAATTTCCTTGTTTTAGATCAGCCACTGAGTAATTTAGCTTCTTTAGAATTTAATTGTCAGCTGAACATGGTTCAAATATGCCAAACTAAAAGCATAACAGTCATCTTGCAAAGTTTCTTCCAGCTTTGCGTAGATTTGCAATTGGCAAGCTTGCTCACTCGGGGCATAGACCCAAAATCTACATGTTAGAAAAATAATTAGCCACCCCAAATTAATAATGCACAAGCAGTATGATACAGTTACACTAGGAAGTAAGAAGTGCAAAAGATGGGGGAGGGGAACACTATGATGTGCAAGAGAACAGAAGTGATGGGGGATTGGGAATGTTTTGGTGCTACCAGTCATGTTGTATCTAATATAATTTAAAATTTATATAAAGTAATTCTTTAATAAATTTTTTTTACCAATGTACATGGAACAAGCCACCAGTCTAATATACTGAATTTTCCAAAAAAAAAGGGAACAAAATAGTGTACATTACCTACCTAAAGTCTATCTACCTACCAGAAATTCAAACTCCCAAGATAGAGATACAGATAGTTACATTATTTATAAGGAAAGAAGAAGCATGGACTGCCTTGTAGAATGGAATATAATGACATTGAGACAATTAGAATAAGATCAAAAGGCCCTCTAGACCCAGCCCCTGTTCCAAGGAAAACTAGTAAATGGACTTCAAAGATAGACATTTTACCAAACTCTAATCTCTCGAATAATGCAAATTCAATGCCAAGCCTTCTATCACTTTATTATACTAAAATACAAAGAAAAACTACTTAAAACAAGCGCCAAAATAAAGAAATCTTAACAAATTACAAAATTAAAAACCTGAATAATTACAGCATGCCTTACAACTAAACAATATACCAAAAACTAATAAAACAGCCCTAATTACTACCTCCATTTCATATTATTTGCAACTACAAAATCTCAAATGAACCTGGTTCACACTAATTTATTGTGGACCACTAACATAGACAATATAATTGTTTTATTAATAAAAAAAAGTCACTATATTAAAATAAAAATTATTATGTTGAAATAAAAGTTAGTGTGACATTATAAAAGCTATAAGAAGTTAATTTTTTAATGAAATTTTTAATATAATGATCAATATGAATAATAAAGATCACTATGTTAAAATTAGGTCACTGTTTAACATAATGTTGTACTTTAAGTTCATAATAACATTAGGGTCACACAAGTTTTTAAAAGGTTACTATATTAAAAACAAGGTTACTATAATAAAATTAAGGGGTCACTATGTTGAATATAATGTCAGTGACGTGTGTATAAACCCTAGGTCCATAATTGTGGACAAGGTCCACGCAAGATTTTTTGATTTGCAACTTGAAAAAAATAGATGCTACACATGATTTGCAACAATTTTTTTTCCCCCTTTTAGGTTGTCATTTATCTCTTATCTTTTTTCTCATCGCACGCATCCTTATTTTTCTCTCTCCATTTTACTCTGACATGCCAAATTATATGAAACAGAGGTATTAATTACAACGGATAAGAAGCATAATAATATAAAACCAGCCGAAGGTGAAGGATCAGATTTGGGGACCTCAAAGATTGAAGCAGAGATGATTTGAACAAAAGGCAGCAACACTACAGCAAGAAGCATGATTAGGAAGCAGAGATGACAAAGTGCTGTACATTTGGTCATCAGCTAAAAGAACGGTGGATCTGAAACTTATGACGCAGAGGCAGAACAACTAGACCTCACTGAAACAAAACAGATGATGAAGTCATTGCTCCAAGTCTCCAACTCAATAAGAGAAGAAACAACTCAGACTAGGCTACATTGGCGATTGATGAAAAATGAAGGCTTGAAAAGACATCACTCATCGGATAGGGTTAGAGTCTTAGAGATGGACATCACTGTAAAAAGGAACAAAGATAGGAAGAGTTAGGTGATGCTATAGAGTTTTGATTACCAAGGAAGAGGTGTGGGCATATCAATTAAGCCTGCAAGAAAGGAAAAGGGCTATGTGATGACAGCTGAGGGGAATGATGACTAGACACATGGTTTCATCATAGATTTCAAGCTGGGATTTTTTTTTTTTGAGAGAAGTCAGAGCTTCTCCCTCTAGAAAAGAACCAAAGTTGAGAGCTTTTGCTTAAGTTGTTTCATCTAATTCAACATGGCAAAACAAGCTAAAAAAACTCATACCAGTAAGCATGGTTCACAAATTTCCTTTCCCTCGGTTATAGTAGGTATCTCAAAAAAAATCCAATCATAGATCATCACTACATTTAAAAGCAATAATAGAGTATATGCTTCTACTATTATTTCTCAAGGGAGAGATGTAGTACCTCCATTTGGATCTAGTTGCCACATAGTTATTTCATATTACATTACATATTGACAATAAATTTGACATAACTGTAAGGCCCTGTTCACTTCACCTTAAAAAAATAATATTAAGTAAAAATAATTTCAATTCTAGAAAAATAAGTTCAGTTCAGTAAAATTAATTTCAGATCAGTAAAAATAATTTAAGTTCAGTTCAGTAAAATTCAGTTTTCTTAAAGAAGAATTATAAAAGAAAATCTGTAAAAATAATTTCAGTTCAGTAAAATTAATTTAAGTTCAATAAAAATAATTTAAGTTCAGCCAATATAATTTTGTTTCAGTAAAAAAAATTTCAGTTTAGCAAAAATAAGGTGAAGTGAACGGGGCCTAATATTCACAAGGCATTTAGAAGAAGTTTTCTCCATTAAACATACCATTGAGTTTTTAGGCAAGTATCTACCACAAATTCATAATGGCCATACTACATACCTGATATGCAGGAGAACACACCCAACTTGATCCACGTGATCTTCCAGCAATGTTAGACAATAATAGCCCTCGTCTTCATTCAACTGACGGGCCACCACATGACAACAATTCTTCACAGATAATCAAAATTGTGAAAGGTGAAAATCAGCCATTTCCTAAAAAGCATGATAAAATTGGCTATACAAGGTAAACCCTTCAAGGTTAAAAAGGACAACCACCATAGAAATGGAAAGCCAATTCAATAAATAGCCTCCCACAATGGTCCCATGGAAGGTCTATTACACGTCTGAGTGTGCTACTACTATTTACATTGATTGGATGTGAGGTTATTAGATGTTTGTATACAAGGCCGTCTTCTTTGAGATCTTTGCTGGCGAGGGAATGTGAAAGGACCATCAGACCTTTTTCTACCAGCAGCAACATCAGATCCACATCCAGATTCACCATGAGTCCTTTGAAGTAAAGAATCTGGAAAGGTTTATTTTAAAACTTTATAATCTACAACAATTAATATCGATAACAAATGGCAGAAACATATTAAGAATATACATGTTTACATTAAATAAAAAACATATTTAAAAATGGTAATGTTATCCTGGACATTTAAAGTAACATGGAAGCATGTGAAGAAATACATCTCAAATAGCACACATACTAAGTAGACGTAATCAAGATTGCAACCCTTCAGATCTTACTCCATGCAATTTTATCTTTTACAGAATTACAGTAAATATTCAAGCCACATCAAAAACCTCACAGATTGCTAAAGACCATCTAGGGGTAGCCATGCGATAAGGCTATCTCCGCTGATATACACTCCATTAATTTTATCTTCCTTTACATATTATACTTTCCCCAGCTAACTTTTTTAATACACTCACCTCATGTAATATCCCCCCCCCCCCCCAAAACAAAAAAAAAAAAACAAAAACAAAAAAAAAGGAGAAAAGAAAAAGAAAAATCCAAAGGGAATCCTGCTTGGCAATTGCTACTGTGCTTTGAAAACATGCCTATGCAAATATGATGTCACGGAGAAGATAGATTATCATCTACCAAAAAACAACTACGCAAGAAGACTGCAATCCTTGTAACTATCATGCCTGATGAACATATATCTCAGGAGGAATAAAAATCTTCAATCAGTTGCTTGAATGGGTTAAAGCCCTTAAAGGCACAGTAAAAGTGTAGATGTTGTAGACTACAAGTACCGCCGTACCTCCTTGGTATTACATGAAAAAACAACCTAATTTGCTGATGGGACTAGTCAAAACAACAATCCACAAATTGAGCATTGGTAAATTAAAAACAAAACCACCTTTTTTCAGTTGCTTGCATAATTATAAAATGAAAATTGATTGTGGGGCAATATTGTCAGAATAGGAAATACAAATGGGAAGAAGCCATCTTCATTATCAGATATCTAATTCACAAAGTTATCATGAATTGTTAAAGATGCTATTCCAAATCTTCAAAAGTCTAGCTGTTCCATATGAGTTCGTTGCAAGTCTTGAATGTTGTCAGAGGATCCTTTCCATTTGGAGGAGATCTTTAACTAAATTGATCGAGCCTAATTGCTCTCTTTTTTTATGGAGACACAACAAACAGACAAATTACATACAACAAATTGACTAGCACGTGTCAATGTACAATGTTGACCATATGTATATGGAATGATAATAATTATTAAAAAAATAAATAAATAATTCAGAATATACATTGAGACTAACCCTACAATATATTTCACAATAACATTTGATTTTTATAAATTAGTAATAAACATAGTCAAAGTTAATATATGAATAGTGTTATGTCAAATTATTGGTAGTATTTAGGAACGGAAGTAGTAATATCTATTCAAAGTGCCAACTACACCACACAAAACCGCAATCTGTTTTTTTACAGCTTGTTCTAAAATTGCAGCATGGTTTGGATTTTTCATCAACCTGTGGTTACCGTTTAAGGTGCAGCTTTCCAAAAAAAAAAAAAAATCACACCACATCGCAAAGTGCAACTTAATGCAGTTTGTGATTTGCAAATCACAAACCACTACTATAATTTAATTTTAACAAAACGAAAATGTGTAAGGTTAAAATATATCACGCAATACAATACAGTTATTAGAATGTTCAATTCCAAACCACAATTTTACGGTTTGATTAGGTTTGTGAACCATACTGCACCAAACTGGACCGTGAAGGCATGAACACCCCTAGAAAGAAGTATCAAATACAGCTAGACATAAAGATGCACTAAAGTTATCTAAAAAGGTTATTTTATACTCATCCTTCTGCATAGAGCATCAACGACTTCTTACAAATGACACTCGTCAAATAAGCAATTGAATGGCAAAAAATAGAAAAAAAAAAAGTTTGACACTAAAAGAAAAACAAAGCATGCAGCATCTGAAAAGAATTGCCTTATTGCAATTTAAATTATAAGAAATATAAATAAAAACCTTAGAGTAAGACAGTCCTACCCCCTCATAATATTTAGCTTCAAAATAACGCGAAGCAACATTTAAACTGGAATGTATACCTTCGTTGAACCTAAACTGGTTTTGCAAATCCAGCCCATTTTCGCAAGCAGATTCCTGATGAGCCTCCACATTGCTGCTGGAACTCTCATTTCCATTAGCCCCTGTTTTCAAAGAAATCCAATCCTCACCAGGACTGCTATTTAAAACTGGCAGCTCATTTCCGGAAACAACTGGATCTGGAAGGATAACTTCTAGAGGGATGTCTGCATTAGCAGAGGCAAATTGATGGTCAAATGAGTTGTGGGGATCATATGAGGCGATCACATGGGGAACAGGATCCATAGTGGAGCCAGAATCTAGCACACAATTAACAGGTCCCGAGTAGGCAGCAGGATTGTGCTCATTTAGCAAAGCTCCAGAAGTACCAAAGAAATCAAATCCAGAACCTCCTGGCAAACTATTGGGTGTAGGGGACTGAGAAATCAGAAAATCACCAGGATTCACATTGAAAATACCATGGCCCTCATCAGAACCAACAGGATATGAGCTGAGACCTTTTTCAGGCACAGGAATCGAGTATTCTTCATTTTTTGCATGAACCACAGGAAAAGTTTCAGGATAAACCAGGCTAACATCATCATCTTCTGAATCGCTGAGAATAATAACATCAGCACATGCAGTAGGAAGATTACAATTTTGGCCATTGGATTCATATATTTGGCCAAAGTTAGGCAGGCTTGAGCTAACTTCGGGTTCATTCATATCAGAAACACCATCTTGATTGATACTCGGGTCTCCATCATCTTTCAGATCTCCTGTGGTAGTGCTGCTCATTGTAATAATATTCTGGTCAATATTTTCAGCTTCGTCACTCCCTTGTCCAACAGCATGCCAGTTGGCAACATTATTTGGCATGCCTGGATTTGAAGTATTGCACTCTGACACATATTCCCTCGCAGTTTGTGACAGGTTGGACACCTGGACCAAACCATCTGGGCCGTGCCACTGAGCAAGATCCCCAACTTCACGGGCATTCTTTACTCGCCAAGAACCATCAGGCTTCATGTCAATCTCAGTTAACTCTTCTCCACAGCTTCGCATCTAGAGTTCACAAAAAATAGGGTCAAGAATATATATGATGACAATAGAAACTGGATACCTCGTGACCAGGGAATACCTTCTTTAGAATAAGATTGAAGAAAGGGTCAACAATAATATCTTCAAGGCAGTAGTTCTTCAAACATATAGGGCATTGCCACTGCAACAAATAGAAACAGTTTATACATGCATCATTTTTATCGGTAACAAGCAGTCAATTTGTAAAGTAAGTATAAATCTTGCCTTCCTAGAGCGTTCATTTAGTCCCACAAAAGTTTCAAGATCAAAGCAACCCATGTGTGCACAAGCTCTGAATCTTCCAGCAGTCCTCATTCTAGAGCCGCTCATCTGTGTTTCATGACCAAAAACCCCCAACCATAAGAAATAAAACATAAATACAGATAAAGATACAAACAATGCTTAAAAAGTCACTGTTCTCATAAAGGCAGAATGCCATGACCAGTTGAAAAAGAAAACAAAACATAGTGAGACACTATTTAGCTTCAAAAATACCATCAACATTATCCTGTCACCGCTCAGGAAATGATTTTCAGTTTTTCCTCATTTTTTTTTTAATTATTATTATGTCATTCTTGTTGGGGGGAGGGGTTAGTGTTTGTACTATTCAGGTGATTTATAGAGCTTGATTGAATAGGTGAATAGTGCCTACTTCACAACTGCTAAGACAAAAAAGTCAGTATATATTGAATGTTGTAATCCAGAGCTACATAATAAATATGGATGAAAATGAAAATGAAAAGAATGTGGCATAGAACTCATTAATAGCATCACTGAAGAATAGCAAATAAGCAACAAAGTTGACTTAAACAAGTCCATGAAAGTTCCACCTTAAAGCTACATATTGTAAGTCCTAGCTTCAAAGAGCTTTGACTATGTGATTTGAATAGCAACATGGACAAATTATTTCAAAAGAAAACAACACAAAAAAATACTGAAATCTTATCAATATATAATGCCCACGTAATCCACATATATAGTGAATATATTCTTCAGATTTCTTATTAATAAATTAATCTTAAAATTATCAATACTAGGATTTTGTCTTTGAAAAATCAGTGAGGTGGTTACCGGAGATAGCCTCAGCTTTCCAAAATCATAGCTCTTGTTTGGTAATCCATTATTAAAACAAATTTACTTTTATCTAATTAAAAAGTACATTACTCTTTCATCGATAAATTGAAGTCTGAGCATATAACTCCAATGTTTACATTTAGACAGATGAAGGCCTCAGGATTACGATCTTAAAGTTAGCCAAAGCCCAAAAATTCCATAAATCAAGCCAGGTAGCAACCCATGGTTCTATACCCTTTCACACACCACAGCGTATCATGATCTGGGTAAAAATTGACACATTGATCTGCATTATGGTGCTCCGCAATAATTTAATTCAATTTATAGAATTTCAGTACTAATACAGGACTTAACAAACCTTCATCTGTCAAGAAAATAAAATTAAAAGGCTAATTTACAACCAGGTTCAAGTCAAAAACAATCAACCAGCTAGCAAAAAGTAAACCAAGAAAACAAGAAATATGAGCTGATAAACTTTTCTTAATAATAAATTGCTTTTCTTTCTTTTTTTATTTGAACAATTATTTTTCTCTAGGAAGATCCATTTGATGATTTTGTTTGTCAATTTCGATTCTCATCTAACTAAATGGTATCAGGCTGTCAATTGACATATCTGTGAAATTAATAAGATGAGAAGTTAATCAAAGACTGCTATGTATCTACCAACTATCCCTAAACTTCAAACAAATTTTATGCCATGTCGTAGAAGCCATCAACCTTATGAAGCAAAAATGGAATAAAGGTGAGAAAAAAGTATTTCCATATGGTTTTCCATAAATCTTAAATAAACTTTTGACAAGATACTGACTGGTGTGCTTTGGTAGACAATGACGAAGAAGGGTATACACGTAAATATATGTAAACAGTAAAACATAAGTATAGAGATCTGAGAACAAAAGTCAGTAGCGAAGAGTTTCCAGATTAAAATTGGACTGCAAGATCTTTCTGCTTTACAGTCATTTTAAATGAAGTAAGATGACGATGATATTGTATTTGGAACAGCAGGGGTTAGCACTAAATTGTGGCAGCAGAGACAAAAAATTAGAATCAAACGAATTTAGGCTAAGGTGTAATAAAACTAAATATATGAAGTGCCATTCTAGTGATGTAAGGTAGCCAAGAAAGGATGTAGTGATATTAGATAGAAGGATCGAAGGATAGCTACGAATCAAAGTTACCCAAAAAATACACGTTTGGAGTATCTTGGATCAATAGTACAAAGAAATGGAGTAAGACCGAGATGTAACTAGCAAGGGTTATAATACAACCATATCGTGCCATTAAAATATGAGGATAAATTCTAAAGGACAGCCATCAGACCCCTGCTATTAAATGGATCAAATTAGCTAAAGAAGATGGGTGAAACATAGATGTGATTGTTACGATAGATGTATGGGAAAACATGGAGGGATAAAATTAGAAACAAAAATATTCAGAGGAATTGCTGAAATTGAGGGAAAGATAAGAAAGAACCGGCTATGTTGGCTTTAGCATGTGAGACATCATCGACCGAAAGAAGAAACCATAAGTAGAGTTTTGAAATGATGGGATATTTTTAAAAAAAAAAGCCAAGATAAACGAAGGATGACTTGGATGGAGGAGTTTAAAATGACATAAAATGGGCACGTAATAGCATGTAACACTAGAGAAGTTGAGCAGAGGAAGAGGATCTTAGTGGATAATCACGGGAGATAGTTGTTTGGTTCATGCAACCAAACCATACTATAAAAAATAAGGCTTTGGTCTTCTGATCCAGAATCGTACCAGACCGTACCAGATCGATGGATTCCGGTTCAGTCCCCAGTCCTTAAAAACAAGGGTCTCTGGGTAAAAAACTGGAATTTATTAGTCCAGACCAAAAGCCTGGTTCATATGCAATTTTTTTTTTATCAGCCTCAATGTTTATCGAACCCTAATAAATCCATTCACTTTCACCATAGCTGCCCACAAACTTCTTATTTCCCCTCTCTCTCTTTCACTCCCACTCACACTCTAACTCTCACTCACTGCCTCACCGGTCACCAAAGACCGTCGAAAACTTGGGACAGATGCCATTGCCACCAATCACCGCCGACTAGTGGCAACCACAATGTCTGGGTCAATTTCTTCCTTCACCTTCCTTTATCTTCAAACTCCATACCACCACTGCTCTTCAGCTTCTTCACATCCTGAACTCCCGTCGCACTGGATGAATTCAATAAGCTTTAGAGAAACAAAAACCTGCAGAGATTTAGCAATGGAAACCGTAGCACAATGGACCTTCTCATCGTAAATTTGCGACCACTCCTGTATAACTTCTTATGTTCTCCTTTTTGGGCTTTTTTTTTTTTTTTTTTTTTTTTACGGTTATATGAATATATGTTTTTTAAACTTTCAATTCACAAATCAACATATTGTATTTTCTGAATTTTATTTTGAATAATACTTGTGTTTTGTCATTATCAATCAATAACTATATACTAAAAGATACACCAACAATGACACGTGTCATCTCTTGGACTCTTGGTGTGTCCTTAGTATATTTTTTTTTTTGGAAAAAAATTCTATTTAAGAAACAAATTAATTCTTTCTACATACAAGTAATAATACCATATTAACATACAAAGTATAATAGAAGATTTGATACAACTTTTTTTTTTTTTTAGGGAAAATTTTTGATACAACTTTCCAAAAAAAAAAAACATATTGACAACTATAACTTAAGCAAAAATAAAATAAAAATAATATTCTTAACATAATTTGAAACATATGGACTTTTTCCTAGAAAACACATTATGTACTACATACATTTATTAAAATAAGATTATATATTATTTTCTCGATTTTTTTAATTATTTAATAGAAGCTACAAATGACATGAAATGCGAAAATCAAATCAACAAATGACACTTTTGTCATTTCCTCAAAAAATTTATGATTAGAATTTCCATCAATTAATACTCTATGGATACTTCAATAAGATTTGTTAAGAACAACACATGTTGATTATTTATAGTGTAATTTTTCCTGTCATTTTTGTTGTTCAACTGGTATGAATTTAACATACGAAAGTAAAAAAAAATTTAATAGTGTTAATTTTAAAACAGTTAATGAATATTACCGTGCATTGCACGGGACCTAACCTAGTATGTTGCTAAGTTTTATTTACAAAGTTCAAAGTCATATTGTTATGTTGATTTTATATGTTGTTTGGGGTTTTAATTTATATAATGGTTCAGATTCATATAACTTTGGATTAGATGATTTGGAAGCTTAAATAGTGAGGTAGGTTCATCTTGGGTACGGAGTAGCAAGGGCAGCAAAAGAAAAAAAAAATGGCAAAGCCCTTTCCATCATATCCAAAACCGGACCAGAACGGATTTTTCAGGTTTGAACCAGAACTGGCCCAGAATCATCTGGCAGTCTACATCCTGCAAAAAGGGATCAATCATGGTTCCAGTCCAAAACGGTTATGGTCCAGTCCGATTTTGGACCGGTGCACAATATAAGCTATTGCCATTATGTACATTACTACCAGTATATTCATCTGACTAATTCTTTGATTTTGGGCCTAAACTGAAGTGTTGAACACGTCAATGAGATTGAAATCTGGAGTACTTGACATGAGTTTTACAGAAAAAACCAAAGAGCACTTCTTTACCTAGATAAAGAATAGAAATTATCATGTCCAGTAACAACCTTTACTCAAAGATTTTCAATTTTCCATTAGAGCACAACGAACCTGGTATATTTCAGCCTTACATACAATACAACTTGTTTACACCTGTAAAGCTTAACCAAATGCCACCTACATACCAAGACTACTAATTTACCAAATAGTTCTTGACCCGTATTTTCTTAAGCCAATACTCGAAAGTATGTTATCTTGGGGATAGAATGGCTTTTTTCAATTTAATACTCCCTCCGTCCAATAATATAGTTCCTGTTTTCCTATTTTGGAGAACCAAAATGTTGTTCTTGTTTCTATTTTTGGATAGTATGTGAATACCATTATACCCTCACTATTTTAACTTTATTCATTGTACTTCCTAATTTACCCTTGAATTTTGCACATGCCTTGTACTTTTTTCCTTCTCTCTCTAACTTTTTTCAATGATTGTACTTTTCACTTTTATTAATGTACTTTATCCACTTTCTCCTCCTATTTCTTAAATGCTGTGAAAAAATACAAACAAGAACTATATTATGGGACGGAGGGAGTATTAATTAATATTATGGATAGACCACTGGTGCTCTGTTAATGTATAGAACGAAGTAAAAATGAAACATGCAGTGTAAGTTGAAATATATCAAGTTATCCAACAACAACCACAAATGTCCATGAGATTGATCTTTTTTCAAATGACACAGTGTATTGTAGCATAAACAAATATTTTCCAATTTCATTACAGAAGACAACAACAAATAACCTGTTACAGAGTTTTTCGAATGACTCTTTTGGCTTTGCTTTTCAATAGTAGAAATTCTGAGGGAATGACGTATTATCCCTCCATAATTCAAAATCTATTATAATGATCATGCATCCATCAAAATTTTACTCAACAGCAAGGAAAAACAGCTGAATGAAATACTGGAGTAAATAATGCCGGGAATATTCGTTTAAAAAAGATTGACTTACAGGACAGCGGAGATTAACAGAGATTGAATCAGCAATGACCTCCAAATCACTATCACTGTCGTCATTGCCAGTCGTAATACCACCACCAATGCAACGCTGAACCCGAGCAAGTGCATCCACAAATGATTCACCATCAGATTCCTTGGGAATTATGCTTAGCACCTAGATAAACCATATATACAATGAGCTGATGGTACAACAGAAAAATTAAGTGCATAGTCCAGGCATGCCTGCACTTCGTAGCAGCTAAAAAATGTACAAGCTGATTTCAAGACCTCATGCAAACAATAAAAATAAAAAATTGAAACATAAAAGATAAGCAACTAGTACAAATTAATGCATTAGCACAAATGGACAATGTTCATACACCAATAAACTGAAGCTAAATACTACTACTTATTCCATCCCATAATGTTTGCCAGGAGATCAATGTTCAATAGTCCCATAAAGGTTTAAGGTTATTCCTCCTTTTTTTAGAAGTACCATTTTGACATTTGACAGTTCGACACTATTACATAATTCACTCTGACCACCATTGGTTATTAATATGTAAAGAGAAACAAAGTTTTTTTTTTTTTAATCTTGCTACATTCGTCTGTCTCAACATATAATATCAACTTTTTATGCTTTTTTACAACTCCTTCGTGTTTAAATAAATGAAACGTTTTCCTTTTCCGGCCATACTTACATAAATAAAATGTTTCCCTTTTTAGTAACTTCTCTCTAATTTAAATAATATTCTCTCTATTTTTAATAATATTCTACTAACTAATGGTCCCCACAAAACCCCTTACTCTCTTCTCTCTCCTCAACATATACCCCACTACCTATTATTTTAATAAATCCAACTAACCTTCCTAAAACTCCGTGAAAGTCAAAAACGTTTCATTTATTTAAACACGGAGGGAGTACTTGACACCTAACAATATTGAGGGTAAAAAAATGTGCACTGGAAAACATGCACTCAAAATGGAACAACTAAAAAAAATCTTTCTTTAAACACTAAGGTTATGTAATATGTACAAAGCTGGTCTCATCTGACTATTTTCTAATCTGATAATGATTTCCCCCTATATACTATAAAACTTATTTCATAACTAAAACAATTGGATTAATATGCAATAGTATTATAATACTAACAAGTCTTTTAGAGGCATGAGTATCAGTAAGTATTATATAAAGCTTCAAATGAGAATCCAACTTGTATAAAGAACAGGAGGGAAGATGTAAATATGGGATCTCAGCAGGTAATTTGTTGGTCAACTGCAAAAATAATTCAGTATAAACATACACATTACATCAGGGAACTAGAACAATAAAATAAAGAAAAAGGAAACAATCGTCAACAATTGCTCAAGCTAACAAGGTCAGCATCAATAATCAGTCGCAAAATACCCATTATAATCGATGTAATCATCAAATGCTTTTTCTAACCCATCATATTAAAATGTAAGATTAAATAATTAAAAACAAAATAAAAAAAGAATCTTATCAATTCTTCCTGACAAATTGCTAATTCATCATTTTAATAAAGCACACAAAGTAGAATAGAAAAAAAGAGCATTAGTTCAACAATGTGATAAAGAGTTAAAGAAAATTCAGATCCAAATTAAAGCAATCTGATTCAACTTTATGGTTTTCCATGATAAGAAAAAAAATGAGGACTTATATTGGCATGGGGAGTGGGAAGGACCAGGGAGCTATAACAGTTTACTAGCATTGGGAGGAGAAGGGGCTAGGAAACAGAGGTGTTGTAGGGATGCAGGAAGGCCAGGAAAGGCATTGAATAGGAGGAGCAAAGATGAGAGAGAAAGAGAGGAATTAACATTTTTATAAATAAAGGTAACTGGTACTGTTGGATTGTTTTAAGAAGAAATCCTTAAAATTACTCCGTAGTGATTAGAATTTTTCAGATATGAGCAGTAGTTGGGATTAATATGAGAAGACCGCATATAGTGGGATTTTCAGAGTTATTTCTTCGCCCCCCAAAAAATCCTCCTATTCTGTCCCTGTCTTATATACTTAATAAAGAAAGGCATTGGAACAATGGTGGCAGCGCTACTGCTGAAAAATCAAAATACTTACTTTCCACAAATAGCTCGAAGCCGCCAAGCAAGGGGCGAGAAGGAGATGTACAAACCTACAACTCTTAACTAGAATTCCAGAAAACATAAATCAGGTACCATATATAATTGTACAGATCAAATTATCCAAGTAGACAAGCCTTGAAATAGAAATTTGAAGACAAGCACAGCCCCAAAAAAGAAATTTACAAACCCAACCCCAGCTCCATCCCTTCATCCTTCATTCCCTACACCGCACACTGTCAAAATCTCCTCTATTAAAATACCTTGAACAAGCATCACCCATCCATTTCCCTTCATCCTTCACTCCCTAAACCTGCACACTGTCAAATTTCCCCCATTAAATTACCTTGGACAAGCACCACCCATCCATTTCGACCAAGATATTAGTATCTCCATCAAATCTAACATCTAAGGCATGAAAAGAAAATCTAGACATTACTTCAACGGACAAAATAGCAACATCTCAACAATTAACTCTTACCTTTTTCATGTCAAGTAATATGGAGTAATTGCTAATTGGTAAAGGCAAGGCTTAGAAAGATTCAACATTTCTCAAAGGGTATCTTAATTCAAATAAACTTAATAAGACTAATATTACAGCATGCAAGTCCTAAAACTGAGAGGCCTTTGCCACCCAGCCAAGCTGCCAAAAGTAATTATAACAAGACACCATAGTATGTACCTCATAGAAAGGGGGAGACAAAGAGAGAAGGGCGATTTAACCTAGAGAGAGAGAGAGAGAGAGAGAGAGAGAGAGAGAGAGAGAGAGAGAAGATTTAAACTGACAAATCAAACGAGGGGAAGATACCTGCTCAAGCGTGCGCTTTCTCACAAGTTTGACACCAAAACAAAAAGTACGGGCATCAGCGCCAGATAAGGATATCTTATTAACTCCTTCCACAATGTACAATGTAATCTGCAAAAATTTAATACAGTGTGTTTCACACAAGAAAATGCATGAAATATAAAGTGAATATGACTAGTAAAAGACATTCAATGATGAAATATGCTATATAAGTATATTGTCCCCAAGGTGTTCCACCTTCTGTTGCATTAGCTAAGGCCTGGGGTTTGGTAACTGATATTCTCGTGTTAGATAAGTAAGGAAATAAAAATTACAAAGGGACAAGATGCCCTAAAATCCTCAAGCAAAAAAAAAAATTATAAATGGATAGAAATGAAAAGGCAGGGACGCGGGGCCCACTAATGGAGTTATTTAACGGGTTCCCTTCATAGGTGGTTCTAGTCTAAGTTTTTGTATCTATAAGGTAATTATGTTTAGAAAAATGTTACTACGTATATACAGTAGTTGTATTCATACAAACCTAATTAAAGGTAGTTTTCACCAAAAAAAAAAAAATAATAATAATAATAATTAAAAAAAAAAAACCCTATTCATATTCTCAAATAGGAATATGACTCGAGAGACCCTTCAACGTGGGTGCGGTAAGGCAAGCGGTATTTGGCAAGGCTAGAAGTAAGGCAAAATGGATCTTCCAAAACAGTTAAATGTGACTAATAGTCTTTAAACAGAGCTTTCTGAAACTGGGATCGCTGATAAGAGAATGAATTCCAATCCCATCACTCCTGTTCCGAACAATGATCATTTACTCAGGTTTGGGACCCTTCAATACGCTTCTTGCTAAAGCCTTTAAGAATGTCACAAAAGTATTGGTCAATAATTAGAGCAGGTAATTCCCCTCAAGATTTTGCAGTTCCGTAGCACTTCTACTTAGGCAAAGCAGATCAATGACATAGCTAATAAATCCCGTTAAAAGTGAACAAGGGTGCAGTGTTCAGATAAGAATTTGAGAAAGCTCACTATGGAGTAAGTTGGGTTTTAAAATGTGCTTATTGAGAGGAGTATATTCAGTGGAGACATAAGATGGGGATTATATTCTTATAAGTTGTTTTTCAATATTGGCATAAGGAGCCCCTAAAGAGTGGTTAACTTTATCTTAAGGATTAAAGAAGGGAGAACTTTGATCTTCTTAACAATCTTAGTTGCTGACATGCTTAGTAGATTTTTTTAAAGGGGTGTGCAAGAGGGGCAATTGAATGACTTGGGTAGTGGGAGAAAGTTAAGTTCTCTTTTGCATTAAGGAGATGATAATATGCTTCATGCCTCATTCACAATCGTCTTGACACTGGACCAAGCGACTTGCATTTTTACCTATCTATCAGCAGGGGTGTAGCGTGGAAATGCTTATGAGCATGTACCAACACAAGCCGACATCTGATTTACAAGGCCTGCCTTGACTATTGACAACAAGTGCAGGTGTGCAGGATTGGCAGATAATGGCTGAGTGACCCAAAGACGGCACAAATAGGACCGAATCACTGATATATGAGATGCTATATTACATGCGATGACACTAAAGCTCTACCAGAAACACAAGCATTAAAGCAAAGGCAACAACTTTGGATAGGAAGCTTGGATTTATTTATTACTATTCCCTAGAGAGCTTTACATTGGAATTACATAATCATGTTACATAATAATTGCTTTAAACTAAAAAACTTAATGTATGTCCTAGAAAACATAAAACAACAAAAGGGGTTAGAATCTAACACTACATGTAGTCACTGATTTATAAAGTACAAGTATATACGGACATACTCACGAATTATAGATTTTTGAAATGCTTTCGAGAGGATATGGCTTTACTAATGTCATTTATTAATGAAAATGAACCTTGGAGAATCTCTTGCATGAGCAGGGTTTCAAATCCAATGTCCCACTCTAGCACCCAAACCCCCTTCTTTTTTGGAGTTGCTAGTCAAATGTAGACCACACTCAAAATTCAGAGTATACTTCAAACACATTAGAGGGATAGAAGGGGGTTTATCTCTTAGGTGGTATTGTGGAAATGTTATCTAGTATCCCACTCCACTTCTCTTTTCAAAATTCCTTTTTTGAAGATAAAAATATACCTAAATCAAACAAATAAAAAGGTGTCTTGTCCACAATATATAGGGAAAAGGTACCAAAAAAAACTCACTTTTGCACCATCATCACGTCCATTAGCTCCTAACTGCTGTGAAACAGCTCTACTCACAGTCCTGACAGGGATACCTGATGATAAATATAACCAACAAATAAGAAAACAAGCGGCAAGATTTAATGAAGCTGTAGAAGTAAGCATTGATCAATATGGGATGAACATCATATTGACAGATAAGGTGAATCAGTTACAAATGGCATCATAATAAATAACTTCTCACTTAGCAAGCAACTTCTCAGTTTGCACAGATTAACATACCATTAACCTGCAGATCAGCATATAGCGGCCACTGCATCCGAAATGGAACACCATCATTAAAGAGCATGCACCAAGCCTGCAAAACAAATTAGTACACTTCAAGAGTTATTGAATGATAAAATTTCATGTTCTCACAACAACCAGAGTGTAGAAGAATAACCTGAACATCATATTCAGCCTTCTGCAACAATTCCCTATCCGCCTTTGTCAATTTGAAGTTCTTCTCCACGGTTACATGTGGGTTTGTACTGAATAACACAGAGAAGTAAATTAATGCAGAAACAAACTGTTATCACAGAAAGGAAAACCTTACCTGAAAAATAGCTACCATATAAAGAGTACGTAACAAAAAATGTTTCTGCAATTAAACCAAAAAGATATTTCCATATAGAATCACGTTTGACCATTACTTTTGTCTCTGGCACTCTAAATGCATAGGTAGCAGTGTGAGGCTGAGGGGTGGATTTTATGATTTTTATAACAAAAATTTCTCTGCAGTGTAGTACTATAGCCTTCAAAACCTCTTTCCAACAAAACATATAATCCAAGTGAAAGATTTAGATCAAGGGAAAGATCAAATCTCAAGGCACAATACTGAAGTTTCTGCTAATGTCAACTCTGATTTAGATCTCATAACAAACTATCAAAACACATCCCCATCCCCCCCCCCCCCGCCCACCCCCAATGGGCAGATTCTAAAACCAATACAGCTCAGTACTTCACCTCATCTATCTAAACTATATGTTTCCTCTTGCTAGTCGCTAGTCAATAAGTATAACATAATCCTTGCATAAACAATTCATAATAAGCCATGATAATGAATATCTCAACCAAAGAACCAATGGGGTGCTCATACGTGGTCAAAGAACTCTCACAGATGGGAGAAATAAACAGTATCACTCATAAAAAGTAAACAGGACATGCCTGCTTCGAATATAAGCTAATAGCTAAAATAACAGCCAAAAAGCAATCCAGCCCGAACCCACCACAATAGATCAAGATACTAACACACAAGTATGTGTGTATACATACTGACATACATAAATATACATACACACACATATACAAAGACATACACACAAACCTACGTGGCTACATGCGTAAATATGTGTACATGTCTGACATGTTTCTAGTCTGTCTACACACATTGAAATAATAATGAGCCTATAATGAGCCTATAATCCTCTTAATATACTCATGCTATGTTCTCTCATAAAAGAGCATAGTTAAAATGCTTACATAATACAACAATATTGTTTGGATCATAGAATACTGAGAAACAGCGCATACCCATCAACAGGAAGTGTGGAAGATGATAGCTTGACAGGATACAGAGGATGTGCCATAGTTGCCCAAAAGCTGCAAACATATAGTAGTTGACCATAAGAAAGAGCATCCAAAAAAAAGAGTTAATACAAAAAAAAAAATGGGGGGAAAAGAATAGGAGGGGGAGACACATTTATGTCTTATTTTCCATTAAACCATTCACTTAATTTTTAAGGTGAGATAATAAACTTGTTTCAAGCATAAACACAACTATGTAGTTGCCAGGTTCTGTCGACAGGGTTAACCAAACCAAAATTCCTTGTTCTGCCCTATGGCTTCCAACATCCAGATTAAGTCACGGAAGATGATAAATTAAAGTAATTGCTATCTAATGCCTTTATTTTGTTTAACGGAGTCTGATAGTCCATCAAATTGCATCAATATCATGCCATTGGATATCAGGCATTTCAGCTCCCGTTGGGGTTCATGTTCAGCTCATGTTTATTCAAGAGTTTGCATCAGAATATATTATGTCACACTAAGTGTTCCTGTAGTTAGAGGGTTACATCTGTCATGTGTAGCAAATAGTGAATTAACAATTTATCAAATTAACTCATGTACTACGTGATTAGCCACTCATTTAGAAGACATCTTATCAGGATCAGCAGCCTCATAGCCCAATTATGGACTTAGACAAAACTGAATACCCTTATTTTTAAAATAAGTGAGCACATTTTTATGGCTAATTCTAATGACTAAAGATACAACTTAAAATCACAATTAAGCTCATTTACGAATCCACTGAAACAAAAAAGGGAGCTTAACATAGTACACATTTTAAAATAAAATATCCAAAACTTTAACTTTATATATCCAATAAATGACTGGTAACGAAAATTGCGTCCAGCAACAGAATCCCAAATCAACTCCCAGTCAAATCTCGTTTTGATTACTTTTATACTACTAAAGATTCTGACTAATGTCTTTCAAACAGTGTTTGCAATGCTACAGATATAAGCCAAAAGGCCCAAAACAAACAGCATAATACAAAACAGAAAATTGGCATAGAGGGAAGAAAAATTGTACGTACGGATCGGCACGTTTCACTCGACATATTTCACATAAAAACTGAATAGGCATGGAAATCTTCTCTGTTGCCTTCTCAGGAATGATCACACAGCTGCTATGTTGCCATACATTGCAATCTGGATCCACACACTGCATTGGCAACTATATTAGTAAAAGATAGTTTTTTTCCAGGTCCCACATCAAAGTATCCAGAAATTAGAATAATAGCTGCAATATGTGAAGGCTACCGACCAATCAACATTATAAATTTATAGTAGTATTTTAGGGATTACATTCAGAATGGGAATTACAGGGTAACCAACATTTATAATTTAAACAAATCAGAAACAGGCATAAAAATTTACCTGAACCAATGCACCACTTCCTGGAACATCACTGCCACAAGGACAACGAATTTTCTTTTCTAACTCATTTAAATCTTCAGCTTCCTCTTTAGGTTGCGTTCTGCTGCTACCTGAACAATTTTGTTTTTTTGCACTTGAGCCATTACTTCCGGATTCATGCATCTTTCTGGACTCCAAAGACAGCACAAAGTTAATTAAAAAAAATCCAAAAGGAGTTAAAAACACAGTAAGACAGTGCAAATCCACAAATACATAATCAAGGATAGGGACAAGTAAAAGAGTTTCTTAAACTATCTCTAAGCAGTAAGCACTCAGGACTTTCACATAGATCATGATCACCCTCCTAACATGAGTATCTTATGAGACCCTATTTTTTCCCTTGCTTGATCAAGACAAAAAAAAGGTTGATTACTCTATCATCTTCTCTTGAACAAGATCAGAGGTAGACAGGCATTAATGTTGCCTCAGCTATCACCTATCAAGCAACAGAATGCTCAGGAGTGAGTTAAAACATGCATGCATGTGAACATACAGTTATTTCTATCTTGAAAGTCCCAAAAGATACCTCATTCTCAACAATATATTAGGACATTAGGTTGCAACTTCCAAAAAATGTTATCTAATACGTAACAACAAACTGAAAAGGTGCACAGTGTGTATAATCAGGATTAACATCCAATTCATGATTTAAAAAAAAAAAAAAAAAAAAAAAAAAGGAAACAAAGAAGAAGAAGAAGAAGAAGAAAGAGGCAATTCACTACTTCCAAGTGCAGACATAACGGTGGGAATAGACAGTAACGCAATATATAAATAGCTGTTATACAATAGAGGATCTATGGAGAGCCATTTTCCTCATTGCAAGGAGCTTGTTAAATTCTAAAAATAATTAAACACAACAAGGGGAGTAGTTCACCTGTATGCATCTTCAATTATTTCCACCAATCCTTCCTTCCCATTGACATTATTCTTGAAGAGACCTGGAGCTGTAAACAAATAGCTGGTGTAAAACAATACATCCAATGAAACAAACATGACCACATGCAGAGATACAAACTTGTGTAAGAGAAAAGAAGGTAACTCTAGATAAAATAAATCTGGAAATAGATACAAGAAAAGATTCAAAGAATCAAGAAAGATGCATTCAAAATATTAGCAATTGACAAGAAAAAAATGAACTAATGTAGAAATTACACAGCTATATAAGACAACATGAGTAATATAAAGGTTGAAAACTAGAAACTCACTGCCTTCATCATAAAGCAAGGCCAAAATTCTGTCCACAAGATCCTGCATACAAGAATAATAGACAGGAAATGTTTTCTCAAAATCAGGAATTAAAAGAGAGACAGAAAAGGTAGTTGGAATAACATTGCATTCGATTCTGTCCAAAAACCATTCAACATTTGGTATATCCAAAGTCAAATATTAAATCAAGCAAGTATTACCTGCTTCCTCCCTTGCTTTGGAAGGCCTACTTGAGTAAGAACATCCTTTAGCTCTATTAACCGGAATTGTAACAACTTGTCCTACAAATGCAAAAGGGCACTAACATAATGCATGGCTACTTCTTTATTTAAAAAATAAATAAATAAACTATTTAGTTTCTTAAGATATCTCACACTTATGAAGGTCACAGGACGCTTAGAGAAGATGAATTATATAATGGTCGATAAAACAAAATTCAAGATAATAGGAAAATTCATATCTTGACGACAAAAGAGAAAGGAATACTAAATTCATCAATACTCAATATCATACCTCAAAATTATGGCAATCGCAAAAAAAATATACTTCATCCGTTTCTTTTTAGTTGACTCGTTTCTTTAGTCACGTTTGCCAATGTACAAATTCAACCATTTATATCTTTAATTATCGATAAACAAAAATTATGAAATCTTTGATATTTTGTAAATATATATTGTGACGAATCTAACAAGATCCCACATGACTATATTTTTAATTACGTATAAAGCACAAAACACGGTCAAAAGGAGAGTGTGTGAATAGTGCTAAAGTCAAAACGCGTCAACTAATAAAAAACGGAGGTAGTAATAAACACAAGCCTATTACTTGTTGCATTTAAGAAAAATTTGCAGTTCCATTGATGAATTACTATCGAAAAACCTTCCTGCAGGACTCATTGTTTTCCCCTCTTTTTTTCATATGTTGTTCGTAAGGAATAGTAAGAGAAATCTTTCTAATGTGGAGCTTTTATCAACTCAGAGTCAATTTTAGTTTCAAACATGACTCTCATTGCACACACTATCACCTTAAAGATGTCATAGGACTTTCTGCTTACGTATACTAACTTCTTTTCGAATGATGAACAAACATGAAGTATGTTGGAACTAGGAACAGCTAATGTTCATATGGGAAGACTATGTAAAAATCTCATGCCGTTTCCTACAGCTTGACTTCTTTATTGTTTTCAAGATCCAGTTAAGCCGTCCCAAGTTGACATCATATCATACCATCCTGTCCTCTAACATGAAAAATCACCCTTAGCTAATATCATGCCAGAACAATACTTACAAATTTAGCCTCAAATTTACAAGTCATAATATAAAATATAGAATTTCGTGTGTTCTAATCTCATAACTACTAATGCAATACCGTGATACCCTCTGTTTGTACAAATTTATCATTGTTCACCAAAATAAGTATGTCCTACATTCTTTTTAAATTGTAATGTTTGGGTTTTCACACTTGAAAAAGCACGTTTTACAACATTAATAAATTTAATTATACTTTAGTAAATATTACAAAAAGTTAATATTTTGAAAATATATATATCAAGACGAATCGAGCAAGGCCTCACATGATTACGCTTCCTTTAATTCAAAAGAGACAATCAAACAAATGTGTGTGAACAGTGTAAAATCTCCCAACATTCCAATTAAAAAAGAACATAGGAAATAAATAAATTAAAGAAATCAAGACTCACAAGAATCAGACCATCAAGCGCCACTTGAGTCACTTAATAGGATTCTATCTTCCACAACTTAAAACTAAGCCAACGCTTAAAACTGGAGAAACATTCAAGACCAACTTAGACATTAAAATCTATCATATGATTCTTAAGGTACGCATATTTGGAATGGATATGATTTGTTGAATTTGATCCAGTGACAAAGGTATATGGCTGAAATAAACTTGAGTATGGATGCCTATGCTCTTCATCTCTCCCAAAATCCCCAAATCTTTTACCCATCCCTCCCTCATAGATTGATACCTCCCCTTCCCTCTCTCTTCTCTCTGCCTACCTTCTTTCTCACCCAACTATCTTTATTTTTAGTTTGATATTAATACTAAAATGGTAATTTTTTAAAACATTCGGATAAGGGGGTTCACATTTTATGATTAAGATAACCAAAAAGCTATATACTTCTCATTCTCGTACCATCTTATCAACTATTTGGACCAAATTCCCCCCTAAGTTCATACTAAATTTCCTGACAAGAAGAATTCAAGAAGTGGAAAAAGAAAAACTTAATTAATATACTATGAGACTGCCAAGTAAGATCCACAAGTTCTACATTTGTATGAAAATGAAGGTAAGTGCAAACACTATATCTTTTGTAATCAAACTACTGACGAATAATAAGTAAACTCTAAATTTTATTCACCCTCTCTAGAAGGTCACTTTACCCGACCCATAATCCTGACGACTACTTTTGCACATGAACCCCTAAAGAAAAGGCCAAAGCAACACTGAAACCCCCCCCCCCCACCCACCCACCCACCCACACACACACACACACACACACACACACACACAATGTTACCTCACCGCTGAGATATAGACAAACACACCCCATTACAGATTTATGAACTCTAGCAAGCTAACACAATACAATGCACAAATGATAAAGCCTTTTTCCATTAGTATTCTAGCTTAAACCCAAACTCGGACCACCATCGTTTCGAACAACAACAATTCAACGTGCAATAAGGAAGAAACGAGCGAAACCAATACATTAAACTCAAAAAGCACAACTCATTAAACTGGAGAGTTTCTACACACCTTGCAAAAAAAAATTAAATAAAAATTATTCCAGTTTTATAATACCTTGCAAGCAGTGATCAATTCCTCATCCATCTCCATACACCAACTCGGAAACGATCACCTTTATCAAAATTGATCGATAGAAGAACCCTAACACACTGGGTTGAAAAATAATTCACAGGACTCGAAATTGCAGCTGGGTTAAAAAAAACGATAAAACAATCAGAGAAGAATCAAAATTAAACAATCGTAATCAATGAAATTTTAATAAATTCCAAATTTTGAAACACCAATTAAACAAATGCTCAATCACTCAAAATAATCAATCAAAAAGTGAAAATTAACACACATTGCATGAAAAATTGGAGCAAATAATCCAAAAAAAATAAATACAGAATTAAAGGGAATTACTCGAATTGAAGAACCAAAAAAACCCCAGAAATTGAATGTTACGGAAACCCACAAAACTCAATTTGATTGTTACTGAATTAAAAACCCTTTTTGGGGGGGGTTTTCTGCTTCTCAATTTTTGCAGTTTTTTTTTTTTTTTTTTTGGGTGAATTTATATATGAATGGGAGTGAGTACTAGGTTTTTGAAGGAGTGAGTAAAACAGGTTTGAGTTTTCTGGGTAGTCAGCTGAAATGCTGAATAACTGAGTTGATGAAAAGGGTAGTTTTTCAAAGGTTTTTTTGGTTTTTTTTTTTTTTTATTAAAAAAAATAATAAAAAAAAAATTAAAAAAAAAAAAAGGGTTTGTTTGCCTTGTGTCTTTAAAAAAAAACTAACTAAATAGACTCGATTTTGAATAGCACCACTTTGTGCATAATGGTTGACTTCTTGGAACTTTTGGGAGGGAAGAGTTGATCGTAGAACGTAAGGGATAAATTCTTGGTCTCTACCTACTTGAGTCTAAGTTGGACTCTACCAAAGGGTTAAAAAAATTAAAAAAAAGCTTTCTAAAAACAAATTAGCTGAAAAAGTAGTGTAAAAACAAAAGTGTTGGATAAGAGAATGGGCCCCTTTGTACCATGAGTTTATGGCGGGTGAATTTTTTTCCCAAAATTTTCCCTCTCAAACTATTGGGGAAAAAATTAATGGAGTTACCCCCTTTACTTTGGTTGCCCCCTCAATCACAAAGCAAGCATTTTGAATAACACAGTACATCGAAGCTGCATGGATTTGTAAAAGGCCCAAATTTTGCTAGGAACTCTAATTTTGTGACTAATTAATTCCCGTAATTTGAGTGAGCTTCAATTTGAAGACGGTGTGGAGCAAATCTGTAGGTGTTGGAGCGAAATAGATTATTGTAATTCTAATGAGATGATTGAGCTAAGAAATGATTTTGATTTGTTTAATTTCGGACAATATTTATTAATTGGGGATATTGGGGTTGTTGTTCTTGAGAAGTTGGTTAATTATTTGTTCATCGTGGTTGTTTATAAGAAATTGAAGAACATGGGTTACAATTGGGTTTGTTTGATGTTGAGAAATTGAATAATACTGAATTTTGTGAACTTAATTTGTATTTGATTGGGGGAACTGTACTGTTAAACGATTGTTAGGTGTTCAGTTAAGCCATTGTGGGGAAAATATACTGATTAAGTATTGATATAATAATGTGAATTGATTTGTATTGATTCATCTTTTAGTTTAGTGAATTATGTGTTTGAAGACATTTGGTGTTCTGTTATTGTATAGTTGTTGTGCCATATTGTATTGTTGCTGTGTTTTATTATGAGTAGTGAAGAACTTGTTAATTTCTGGTTTAGGAGTATCATGTTGAGGGGGCCAGATGCGAAGCCTGTAGCTTAGATAGTTGTTCAGATAGTGATGACAGTGCACAATTTGATTTGAATGATGATTTAACTATTGATTTTGGGGAGGGTTTTGACTTGAATAAGGACCCTCGTGCTGAATGTAGCATTCCCGGGGAGGGTGTTGAGTTGAACGACAAGTGCGGTGTGGGTTTACAAAGTGCAGGTTTAGGGTGTTCAGAATCATGTAGATGTTTAGAGGCACCTTCATTACCTCATCCTGAAGTTGGAATGAAGTGTAGTACTTGGGATGAATTGAATAAATAATATTGTAGATATGGGGAACAAGAGGGATTTGGGGTTGTGTGTATAGGTGGGCGAAAGAATGCTTTGAAGATTGGGTCATTTAGCACTTATGTTTGGAAGTGTGAGTGCTACGGTATGACAGCATATAGGAGGAGGGTTAATGGGAAGAGGGTTGTGGTTTATGATGACCCATATAAGAAGAATAAGAAGAGTAAAAAAATGTAATTGTCCAGTTATGATCTATGGGCATGGAAACAATGAAGGTGTGTGGCACATCAAGAAAGCTATTAATTAATGAGCACAATCACTTAGTGAGTCCTGAGTTGTCAAGGCACATTGCAATGTATAGAAAGCAAAAAATTACCAAGCATTTGGAGCATAGGATCGAAACTGACCATACATCTGGCGCCTCAATACGGCAGATTTTTCAACAACTTGGCAGACCAAAGACATGGTGTTGAGAATGTGGGATTCACGAAAAAAGATATTCATAATTTGGTGAATAGAAAGAGGAGGTTAAAGTTAAAAAATGGTGATGCCTCTTTATAGAACTTTATATTCACCATGGTGAGCTATTTGGTGAATATAACGAGTCTATAAGTTGGTGAATAGAAAGAGGAGGTTAAAGTATGCTATAACGAGTCTATAAAGTTGTATAAATAACTAGGTGAGCTATTTACAGTGGCGGATCTTAAAAAAAATTCTTTTGGGGGCCAATCATAACTAAATGTAAGTAGAACATACCTATACAAGTATACAAACATAATACTACGTAATAAAAACAAATTTATAAGAAGTACGAGAAAATTGATAATTTAATAGGAAATAAATTACTACTATACTACGTTGTCTTGATAATGTTAAGACAAATCAAATGCTCTCTCTATTTCAAAATAATTGACATATTAGACAATTTTTTTCACTATATACATACTAGCTCTAAGGCCTCTAACCATAGTTTTTTAGCATCATATTAAAAACAAATTTTATCTTGAAATATGCTTTTAAAAAGGTATTAATTTAATGTTTAATATTATCAACACTTTACTATTATTTTTGCTAATATATAATTAAATACGAAGTATATTTAAGTTCAAACTAGTGCACCAATCGCGTGAGCCACTAGCTACAACGATATTTCGTGAGCCACTAGCTGAACATTGCATCAATTTTGAAAGTGTTAAATTATAAATAGTCAAACATTTAGAAAAAAAAAGCACTGAATTGCAAAAATTGCTACATAGTCCATAACATGCTTCCTAAGTTCCTAAGGATTTATAAAAACTTGGGGAAAAATTATAATAATAATTAGGAAAATTTGAATTTTGGTACCTCAAATATGGGGGTAATTGAATTTTCGTACCCGTTTAAAATTTATTTTTAAATTGGTACCTCTAAAAACACAAAACTGTAGATTTTAGTACCTCCGTCCATGTTCCGTTAAGTTTTCGTCAATGGGCCCATTATCTAATTATTTAATAATTTAATTTATTAAAAAAAACATTTTATATAAAAAACTTAAATAATAATAATAAAAAAAATAATAAAAAAATGAAAAATCCCTAAAATCTTAACCAGCCACCACCGACGCCAACCCCACCGCCGTCACCCAATCCCAACTGACCATCCTCGACCCACGAAGTCAGCCGGCCGACCTTCCTCGAACCACGAAACCAGCCGTCCGACCACCCTCGATCGATCTTCAAAACAAGCCCAACTGTACCCTAACAACCTCAACCCCGATTTGGTTTCATGGGTGAGAGGAGTACGGCGGTTTGTGGGTTTTGGTATGGGTGTGGGTTGGGGTTTCGGCAGTTCGACGGTTTTGGGTAGGGGAGAGGAGTTCTGCGGCGGTGGTGGGTTGATTTACTGCTGTCAGCTTCTCGCTGGGCTGGTTTAGGTGGTTCGACGATGGTTTCGAGTCAAGAGATGACGATGGGGGCTTTTCGTTGGGTTGGTTTGGGTTGGGGTCTGGGTAGTTCGACGACGGCTTCGGGTCGGGGAGACAACGATGGGGCTGGGTTAGGGTGACGACCATTGTACGGTAGTGGTGGCCACCGTTGCGCTAGGGTTTCGGGGAAGGGGAAAACAGGGAGGGAAAGGGAAAGGGAGGGGGTGGGGTGTCGCGGCCAGGAACGAGGAAGGGAGGGAAGATGGTGGTGGTTGCGCTAGGGTTTCGGGGAAGGGGAAAACAGGGAGGGAAAGGGAAGGGGTGGTCGGCGCTGGTGCCAGGGGAATTCGGCCACCAACAGCCGGAAGCCGGCGCCGGCGCTAGTGGCAGTGGCTGATTTTTTTTTTAAAATTATTTTTTAAGGTTTTTTTTTTTATAAAATGTTTTTTCTTTTTTTTAATAAATTAAATTATTAAATAATTAGATAATGGGCCCACTAACGGAAAACTTAACGGAACATGGACGGAGGTACTGAAATCTACAGTTTTGTGTTTTTGGAGGTACCAATTTAAAAATAAATTTTAAACAGGTACGAAATTTCAATTACCCCCATATTCGAGGTACCAAAATCCAAAATTTCCTAATAATTATAGAAAAATAAAAAATACTAGTAAAAAAAGGGGAATCTAGTCTATCTAGTAAGTCACTAGTTGGATGTCAAAAGTCAAAATTACAATTGGAATTATAAGAACAAGGCTAAAGGAGGTGTTGTACTGTAAAGATGGGCTTTGCAATGTATAGATTTGGGCAACAAGTGTTATACGGGTCATATATTCTGTTGGACTAATCTACACCCAATATTTGTTATTGGACTTGTACAGGGGCTGGGCCCTTAGTGGCCCCCCTGGATGATGCGCCTCTGGCTATTTATACAACTTTATAGACTCGTTATAGCATATTAATCGAAACACTTGATCTCCTTTAGCTACAATGTAATACCTCATATTTTTTATACGTATTTTAATTAAAATAAGTATTTTGAGAAGTATTTAATTAAATTGAATTGTTTTATTTAAAGTATTTTAATTATTTATTTTAAATAAGTTTGGAAATATTTATAAAAGGAAAGTTTATTTAATTAATTAATTTAATTAAGTTGGGGTTTAATTTAAGGAAAGTTTTATTTTAGTAGAGTTTTACTAGGGATGGGATTAGGAAAATTAAAAGAGGAAAGTTAGGGAAAAAGGGTTTCTAGAGAAGGGGTATAAATATCCCACATATGAGGCAAATCAAACTTTGCCCAGAGTGGAGAAAACCCAAGGTAAACTTCTCTCTTCTTTCTCCTTATTTTTCTTTCTCCTTATTTTTCTTTCTCTTTTTTTCCTTTCCCCTTTTTCTTCTTTTCGGCTCCCCTTCATCACCCCCACCGGCCGAGCACCAGCAGCGGTGGCCGCCAGCCGCCAACAGCCGGCCGAGCCAGCCACCGGCACCGGCAGCAGCTTGGTGGCTGTCGGCTGCCAGGTCCGAATAAAAAAAAATTGAATCTTTATTGTTAAAAACTATTTTATTCCTAAATCTAATTGTCAATTATGAGTTTTGGGATTTGATTTTTGATGTTTGATTATGAGTATTATGTTAATTAATTTTCAGATTATGTTTTTAATTAAAAAGCCCCAATTTTTGAAACCCTAGGTTCTTGATTTGTAAACTATTGAAGGGTTATGATGTATAATGATTTAGACCTTTGATTAAAGTGTTTTAAGGCTTAAATACAGCAAGTTTTAATTAAAATATAGTGTTGGAATTGTTAGTAGAGCATTTAAAATCAAGTTTCTTCATGCAGCGTTTGGGAACCAACATTTCATTTCAAATTCTTCATTTCAAATCTTGTAATTGAAATACTAGTATTCAATTCCAAATATACTGTTTGGTAAAATTATGGAAGTTCAATTCTACAACTTGAATCATTTAACAAAATTTCTTAAAAAAGAGTAAAAATAGAACAGATCTCAATCTAAATCTCAAACGCAATCATATTTCCTCAATATAAAAAAAACATATGAACTTTTTTTGGGAAAAACATATGAACATATTAACATTTCGATCAATTTTTTTGGGAGAAGTGATGAACCCTAACTTTAGAATCCCAAAAAAAAAACATAGAATAG